GTCGAAGGTATATTTGAGGCATATTTTTAGCGTGAACCGCATGCAAAGCATATGGATAGCATACGCTTAGTCAAAGTATTCTAAACGTACGTTTTGCATGCGGTTCACGCTAAAAATATGCCTCAAATATACCTTCGACTCTGTATTAAACTATGTATAAAATAAGCGTAAGCGTGAATATGGTATAAACGCAGCGTGCGCAGGGAACACACGCGGTATATTTGTCAAGAGTTAATATCGTTCAGCCAATACGTTTTGAGCGCCGTTGAAACTCGGGCAACACGGTGAAACACAAAACTACTTTGACAGCTCACAATATCATATTATCCCTATCGGAAGCTGTTGTCAAAGTAATCCAATCGCTCTGTATAAAAAATAATCACATTATATATTGCTTTTGGACTGGAACCAGTTGAATATTGCTATAAGCAGTAGTAAAGACTTAGCGCAATTCATTTTTAAAACACTGAAAGTGCAAAACACAAAATGTCGAAAAGTTCAAAAAAGAATTTCTTTGTACTTGCAGTAGTTCGCATCAAATTTATTTATTCATTTATTTATTCAACAAATGATGTTATTCACATACATGTATGCCCTTAAAAACTATGTTTACATTTGAAATTTAGAATATACTAGTGATATGCAGTCTCAATTTACTAAATTGTTTTCAAAGTTAGTATTTAATCGTACTAAATTAAGGACAAAATCGTGCTGCAATTCACAATCAAGACACTGCAAGTGCAAGTTGTGTCGGTGTGCGATTTCGTAGTGTCTGTGTGTGATAAAGTATATCAGAATGATTTTTCACCGTTCATTTGTACGCATTCGTTCTTAATTTGGTACGTTCACGTTTGGTGACCTTTTGTCATTCGTTGAAAAAAAATTACTCGAAATTACATTTCCAAATTAACTGTTTTTTCAATGAACAAAATAAAATTTCCCAAACATGAACACACTAACTTTAGTATAATTCATACGGTGGAAACAAATTAATAAGAACACAACCGAAATAATATTCAATGAATGTTTTTTTTTAATTTTCATTGCACGTGAAATGAAAATGTGTTCAAACATGGTATAGTGAGGTTATGTGTTACACTGCAAGTGCTACTGTCAAGCACACGGATCTCGATAGGGATACTTTTGTGGCCCAGTTATCAACGCTATCAAGCCTTGATATTTGTAGCGTAGTTTTTTATTGAGAGGCAATTGCAATTAGCTTCAAATCGCGGTATTTATCATCACAATAGCCCCAACCAGTACTGATATTTATAGAAGTAAAGTAATAAGTAACTTATTACTTATAACTTTCATTTTATTACCAATGTGTCCAAAACGCATAAATACGGCGTCGCATAAGGCAGTTATCGCATAAATATCGCGCGATAATTTTCTGCTTGCGTTGCCGCAGTATACGATATTTCAATGCCGTATTCATGCGTCCATCTTATTATAGTAATAAGATTGTAATAAGTATCTTATTAATTTTGGTGCAAAAAAAAATTGCAAAAAAAGTTTCATGTAAAAGTTTCACATGTCAATTTTTGTCAGACGAAAAAATGTTGAAAAAAATGTGTCTGGCAAAATTTGACATGATTACGCGAAAATTGATGGCCAATATGAGGCAAACTAACATTACCTATTAACACCCTTATTATTTAATCGATCATTCTTGAAGAAAAAAAACGCCAATTGAGTCATCATCAAAATAGTCACTCAGTAGAAATCACATTTTCTTTGATTTGGCTGAAGGGATTCTCGATATCTTGATTCTTTGACGTTTTGGATTGAACAGGTGATCTCCTTGTTACTAAGTTCTTTGCCTCATATTGGTCATCAATTTTTGCGTAATCATGTCAAATTTTGCCAGACACATTTTTTTCAACATTTTTTCGTCTGACAAAAATTACATGAAACTTTTTTTGCAATTTTTTTGTTGCACCAAAAGTAATAAGATACTTATTACAATCTTATAACAATCATCACTGTAGGTGCTTCTACAATTAATTTCCGACCACTACAATAACTGTAGTTGCTTCTACAATTATTTTTGGGCCACTACAATAACTGTAGGTGCTTCTACAATTATTTTCGGGCCACTACAATAACTGTGGACACTTCTACAATTATTTTTGAGCCACTACAATTATTTTTCGACCACTACAATAACTGTAGTTGCTTCTACAATTGATTTCCGACCACTACAATAACTGTAGTTGCTTCTACAATTATTTTTGGGCCGCTACAATAACAGTAGGTGCTTCTACAATTATTTTTGTGCCACTACAATTAATTCTTGGTTACTACAATTATTAAAACACGTTTTATAGCAGTTTATAGCAGTTTTATTCCCATATTAAATATTAAACTCCCCTGGAGCCCAATAAGTTGTTGAAAACATCAAGGATCGGATGACTGATTTGAATTCTACATTTTTTCTACAATTTTATGGACCCCAGAAACAATAGAAAAAAGATTTAGTTTGTGGAAAGTTCGATTTCGAGCCAAGATTTGAGTATTACCGATTTTGGACCAATTTTCATGACTCGCCCCGATATCGAACGAACGGGCAGACATATTTGAAAACAGACAATTGATTTGAATTTTACAATTTATCTACAATTTTTTGGAACCATTCTTCATTCGAAAAAAATTCGATTTGTGGAAAATACGTTTTTTGACCAAGATTTGAGTTGTCCCATTTTATAGCAGTTTTTCGATAGCCGATTACTCAAAAAAATTGTTCCTACATTAAAAAAGTAAAAACACTACATTAAAGTACATAAAATCTACAATTGAAATCGCCCTACCCGAAGACATTTCGGAAAATTTGCCAAGATTTGAATATTCATTTCAATCATCTTATTACAATCTTATTAATGTAATAAGATGGACTTATTACTTATTACGCATCTTATTACTTTCCCATTTTTATTCTCAACGACACAATTGTAAACGTACATCATTGGTATATACCATATGTTTTTTTTTATTTAACATCTTCATGGAATTTTAACACCAATCCCATTGTTCAGTGCCATAATTCACCTAAAAGAATAAACGCTTTCCATTAACAACATACGATCTACATGATCTTTTCAAGGATTGAAATATGTCCTGCACTTCTTGATTTTCATCCGAAACGATCTTCCCAGCATCTGTTCTCAACTTCGTCCAAATTCGTCGTAATCAATAGCCGGTTTATGAATTTCGCACACATTTATTTAGAGATGAATATTTAAAACAAAAAGAAAATGTGATTTCTATGAAATGGCATTTTTACAATAATAACGCTGTATGATTGATGTAAGGAGGAAAATTGTTAGAATAAAACAACAGCTACCTAGATCATAAAAGACACTGGCTAACTGGTTGATTTGGCTATGCAGTCTTTGTTTTTATAAATTAACCATTGCGACAAACAAATTCCCTAAGAATATTTTAGTTTTAAAGTGCAACATAAAGTTTTTTTTTTAATATGGAGTTGTTGTTGTAAACTCGATATAAAAAAAATTTCATGTTGCGTTTTGAAACTAAAATATTCTGAGGGAATTTGTTTGTCGCAATGGTTCAAATACCACAAAAAAGATACGTTTGCGCTTTGTAGTTGTGGATATTTTGCCATAAATTTAAAATGCTTTTTCTCATTTTTATGGGCAGAAGTGAATTTTGGGCTACCTCAAGTACATGGATAGCTTTGGTCGCAATCTTCATTAATGTATCCGTATCAGTGTACTTTGCGAACATTGTGCATACGCTTCATCATTTGAACAAAATAGTTAAAACGCCTGGAAAAAGAACTCATAGATTGCTGACCAAGTAACGGAAATAAAACTAGCGAAATTTGTTCCGGTTCTATTGCTTTATTGAATGAATGTGTTTTGACAAAAAGAAGTAAAAAAAAAATTGATAGTTGAATTCGGATTTGAGTTTGAAATTATAATATTTTTTATGTAGTTTGTTTTTTATAATGCGTTACACATATGCGCCTCTTTAGTAGAGTGGGCAAACGCCAGCACGAACATTGCCGTTGGCCATGCTTAGGCTGATTGGTTGGGCAACGTTCTTGATTTTAACATTACGAATGCAACCAACGAATGGACGTCGCACGGTGAGACCTCTGGCCTTCGAAAGATGTGGATGGCCACCCAAGAATAGCGGTCGAGTGGTATCGGTTGAAGAGGTTGTGATTGCACCAATTGTTGGATTCGAATTCCATGAATCGACAATCAATGTAATAACATATTGTGATTTGATTGCAGTTACTGTGTGCCATTCACCGTCACAGAACGTCTTATTGGGTTCGGGTTGGAATACGGCCGTGATTGGTCCGCCACCATTGTCCACCGTAAAGTTGATTGTACCGTTGATCAATTGCAATGCAAACATGGCCTTCTTTCCATGCACCGATAACAACAAACCGTTGAGTGTTCGTGGTTTGATATCGAATGAAATGGTCGTTTCGATTCCAACCTTGAACTTATCTCGCAACTAAAAGAAGAAAAAAAATGGAATTCAATCAGTAAGTTAACGATTCTATTGCATTTGAAACAACTCAATGTTCAGCAATGGGTTAAATTGTTTACCTTAATGTAACCGCCGTTGAAGAAGATACCATTCTCTACTTGTTCTGAGCATGGTGTTGTGCCGACAGCCTTACTTGGTTCGCCCCAAGGACGTCCACCAACTTGGATGTTTCGAATGCAACCCTGGAAGATTTTGGCTGAATTTTGGCCTGCATTGAGTTCAACGTCTTCCTTTAGGTTTGATGGCACTCCACCAAACAAGTATGGCGCTTGAAGTGACATTAGTCTGGTGTTTCCAACCGATTCAGCGGACACTTCATCATCTCCATTGATCAACAGTTGTCCCTTTGACGATTGACGTGATATAAGAACTGTGTTCCAAGCGCTGTTATTGTATTGATTCTTTGATGTCATGTTGGCTGAACCAGAACCACAGTTGAATTTATGGTATACCTGCAATGGAATTTAGGGAAAATTTAATCAAATTCTCATACAGTAAAAAAAATGAGAATGAATTTGTAATACGTACAAATCCATCTTGCAAATAAAGAGCAACGAAATCGGTGTGACGATTATCGGCTGCATAGAACAACAAGCCATCTGGTTGATCGGTCTTGAATTCCAATGATATTTCGTAGCCCTTCTTCAGCTTGCTCGGCACTTCTTCAAATTCGATGCGACTGTCAATGACGGTTCCAAAGCGGTAGCCAGCCTCATAGCCAACATCTGGTTCTGGATCGGATGACAATTTGCACACCGAATCTTGTTTGGCTGGTCGTCTCTTTGTTGGTTTCACCGTGGTAGATGTTGTCAAATATTCCTGTGGCGATGGAGTTGGATGGTTATCCGGTACTGGGGTCTCTTCTGGTTTTGGCTTTCCAGCATTTTCATTGTCGATTTCATTTTCATCTGGGCGCACACGTACGTCTATGTTTGGTTGTTCGGTTACTGGAACACCGGCACCGCCGCCACCACCTCGTCGAGCTTCCTCTTCAAGGCGGCGCTTTTCTTCGAGTTCTTTGTCCAAAGTGCTTGGCTCGTAGTTATCTTCCGGATACACAATCGGCACCAGGATTGGATCATAATCTGTGATTATGAATGAAGCAGGAAAGGGCCAGAGAATCAATTGAGTTTTGTGTTTGTTCGAAATGGAAAGAACGTGTGAAGGCTTTATACCATTTGTGCTTTTTGCAATAATCATTCAGAGAATATGACATTAATATAACATCTAACTCCATCTAGAACTCTTTTCAGTAGTTGTGTTTTAGTGAGTAATATCACCTAGACTGAATATAGCGGTTTCAACTACTTTCGGGCGATATTATCTCAAAACTTCAATGAGTTATTTGTTATGCGGACGCTCAAACGGCTATTGTTGATGTATGTACTAATTCAGTAATCCACAGACATGCAATGGCTACTGGATGACAAATCTACAACACAGTCGAGTGCGTGTGTTTGCGCGCACATTAACAGTGGCCGTTTGAGCGTTCGCATAACAAATAACTCATTGCAGTTTACTTTTGAGATAATTTCGCCCAAAAGTAGTTAAATAGTAGTTGTCGCTATATTCAGTCTAGGTTATATTACTCACTAAAACACAATTACTGGAAAGAGTTCTAGATGGAGTTAAATGTTCACACCCAATCCAATGTATTGAAACTCCATATACATGCTCGGGGTATGGCAATAATATGGAGCGGCCATGATTATTTACCAATCAATAGTACTCAAGTACAGTGTATTTGAGTCCGTACCTTCTCCTTACTACTGTTTGAAAGCACAATGGTATAAAAATCTGCAAGAATTTACGCCTCATTCTTTAAAATATTTTTTGTATATAACTAAAACTTACCCAAAACATCACGTGAACAACTATCCAAAAGTGCTGATTTTCGGTCACCAGATTCAGCAAAGTTTATGATCGGTCCGTTGATGTAAACATCGGAAATGCATCCGACAAAGTATGCGGGCGTGTTGACTGCATATGGTGGAACTTGATAGCCCTTTGGCAAACCACCGAAGTAAATATCGGCATTATCCAAGATGATTGGTCTTGTGTTCTCTACTACAATTTCTGGCGTATCATCAACCGAAAGACTGAGTCGGCTTTCATCATGCAACAATGACAAGTAATGCCAATCACTGTCGCTGTACTTCACTGGCGATGTGTTAACCTCAGAATTTTGACTGCGCAACACAAGTGCACCGTCTTCTAGAAACAGTGCAATATTGTTGTCTTGACTGCGATCGGTTGCATAGAAAATGATTCCTTTGTCTTGTTTCGTCTTGAATTTCAAACTGATTCGCAATTGGTTTACTGCGCTAATATTGTGACGCACATAGCCGAATTGTCTCGGTAGATATGATAATGTGGTTGAGAATTTCGTAGTGCATCCAGCTTGAGCATGGTATGCTTTGAGGTTCCGTGTTAAATCGATCTTCGTGCCAGAAATGTACACTTCGTCAATGCATCCGTCAAAGTTCTTCGATGTCACTTCACTGTGATTCAACGTTGATGGATGACCACCAAAGTACATCGTATCTGAGATCTTGAGATTCTCTTCGCTTCCGACTGGTGATTCTTCTTGTCGAATCTCTCTGCCATCGATCTTGAGTATGCCAGCACGTCCATTACGTTCGGCTTCAACCAAATGCCATTCATTGTCATTGAACTGTTCACTTGAACCAATCGATACCAAGTGTTGGCCCAATTTGTATTGGAAGTAAACACCACCATTCTTCAATTCAACCGAAATAAAGTGTCGGTTACGTCCTGCATAGAACATCAAACCATCCAAAGTGTCACGGCCCGCTTTGAATTTGAATTGAATGTTTGAACGTTGTTTAAACGAATATGGTTTGGCGTCTAATATCACATATCCATCGCCGTTGAACCGATATCCAGTCGGTTGTGCTTCTGATGCTGTCAATTGGTTACGTTCGCGTGCACCATCGTTGTTATTTTGTGCATCGACAAAGTTCCACAAGCCAACTTTTTCGTCTCCAATGCGCAAATCTTCGATTTCACCATCGAATGAGTTGTATTTCAAAGCCTTTGGATTGATATCCGGTGAACCGCCGACGAATATTCTGGCATTGTCACGTGTCAAATCGAAGACATTATCGTTTCCGCTCAATCGATCTTGAACTTCGTGCGATAAAATTTTACCATCGTCAGTTTCTTCTTTGATGGTTAATTTTGCATCGTTTCCGATACGTTCGACGATCGCTTGATGCCATTTGCCATTTGCAACATTCTTCTTGCTGATTATCTTGTCTGGACCATCTCCCAAGTCAACCGACAAAATTGGATATCCGTTTTCGATTTCTAGCGCCATGTAATCACCTTGTTTACCGTATTTTCGTCCGTCTTGCTTGTTTTCATTGCCCAAGTACAACAGAAGTCCGTCGGTCTTGTTGGTTCGGAAGTAAAGTGAGGTAGTGAAATCGGATGCCAATTGGCCGATCTTCGATGGTGCTTCCAATTCAAGTGTGGTGTTTGGATGGAATTGTACACCAACTTTGATGGAATTAGCCAATTCGCGAGCACTTTCGATTTGCTTCTTAAGACGCTCAATACGTTCGGCCAAATCATTGCTCGATCGTTTTGTTTCATCTTGTTTGATCTTCAAGTCATCAACAAGCGATTGTAAATTGGGCAAAATCTTTGAAACACGATCAATTTGTGTGCTTGCTTGAACAATATCCAAATTGGTGTCATCGATCTTCTTTGACAAATCCTTGGCATTCGATACACCACCTTCCAAATTCTCAAGAATTGGCTTCAATATTTCTTTTGCTTCGCTTGCCTTTTCATTTGCCTCGTCAGCTCTCTTGCGAGCATCTTGCCAAATGTTTCCTTGAGATGACTGTGGCACTTGATCTAGAGCTCTGGTAAATGAAAATTTTGATTTAATTGCGCTATTATAACCGTTCATTTCCAAATTCATTTAGCATATAATAATTTCAGTTACTCACTGGTTAATAGCTTTTGTCTTTTCATCACTGCGTGCGTTCAGCTCCTGAATTTGTTTAACGGCTGATGTGGCTTCATTGATGTGTGGCTGCAAATCGCTTTGAACGACATTAAGTGCTTGTCTTGCATTTTCGAGTAATTCACGTGAGTTATTATCTGATTCACCAGCGTGATTACCAATACCAGTACTCTGAAAAGTGGAAATGGAATGCCATAAAATAGATGGCATATGACAGCAATATAATTAAAAGAGCGCTTAATTTGAATTTCAGATTTTAAAATGTCCAATTTCTCACCAATTCAGTGGCATTATTTGCTGCTGCTTGTGATCCTTTGACCAGATTTCTTGCTTCGCCAACGCGGCTAACGATGTCAGAGTACGAATTGGCGGCCATCAACGACCGTTCGGAATTTGCTGTTATGTTCGATAGCTCATTCTTCAATTGATCCGCTGTATCGCTAAGTTCTGATCCATGATCAGAGGCTCGCCCAATGATGTCATCCAAACCATTCAATTCATTTTCTTTGACCGGTAAATCAGCCTCAACTTGTCCATTGATGGCTTTAAGTTCGTTGTTTACATTTTCCAAATTCTTCAAGAACCGGAAGATTTCACCCAAAACGATATCGCCCTCCGTTTTCAATTCTGATGTGCCTTCAATATTGTTTTCGGTTTCTTTGGTATGATTTTTAACCGTATCGAATTTCGAATTGACCGTTGCATTCTTATTTTTCGAATGTAAATTGTCGGCATCCCAGCTAAGTTTGATGGCATCGTTGGCATGCTTGTTGAGATCTTCCAATTTCTCTCTAAATGCTTTAATATCTGAATGTAAATCGTCCAATTTTTTATTCTGTTGTTTCACTGGTGCGATAAAATCTTCGATTTTCGCCAGATAGTCAATTGAACTTTGCAATTGCTTTTCGGTTGGCTTCGTATCCACGGCAAAATCGCGCAATTGATCCAGAATTATATTTGCTTCGGCAATTGCATTTTCAGCTTTTGTTGTACTGCCCGACGTATCAAAGCTGTCGGCAAGCTTTTGAACTTCATAGACGGTGTTCTGAATGTTTTCAAGCGTTTTGCTTGTTCCACTCAATACGTGACGTGAATCGTTCAATAGTTTACTTCCGGCGACCAATTGAGCGTTGATCGTATCATTGGTGTAACGTAATTTACGTTCAAAACTCTTTGCCTCTGATTCCAAAGCATCAATGCTATTGACCAATGGTGTTAGATTAACGCTGTTTGGATCCAATGCCTTCACATCGGGTTCAATTTTGGTGGCCAAATCATCCAAGTAGTTGAGTTTCTGCGATGTGAAATAACCGCCGGCAACCGTTTGGAAATCAATAATAACGGGTTCTAGTTCATTTGAAATGGCATCGGTTACGTCCAAAAGACTGTGATGACAAATATCACACTCATGACATCCATGATCCTGCACCAAAACCCATCGATGCGGGCAAGCATTACATTTCTCTCCAACAACTCCTGGCAAACATTCACACTGTCCGGTCAATACATTACAGCCAACTCCGCGCGAGTAATCATTGTTACATGAACAAGCTGTGTCATTGAAATGAACATTTTCGATTAATTTTGAACAAATTCAAAAAGATCAGAGGTATATCCTTCTCATAGTTGGTTCTGATGATGAAGAACATTAAAATACTTACACAAACATCCCTCGGAGGTATAGTTCCAATAGCCTGGTAAGCATCGATCACATTGACGTCCTGTAACACCTGGTTTGCATCTACATTCACCGGTTTGGTCATCACATTGTGTACTGTTTGAAGCAACAGCACATTCACACGCGGTACAACCACGACCACTTTCGAATCCATAATGATCTGCTTCGCAGCGATCGCATTTCGAGCCAATCACATTTGGATAACAGTGACATGTACCATCGGCTGAATCGCAATGATCCGTTCCACTCTTGTCACAAACACAGCCTGAAGCGAAGAAAAACATTGAATTAATCTTACATATTATCAATAGAAAACACAACTTATACCAACAAAAATCTTCGAAATGCTTAAAAATTAATCATTTTGAGTTTTGGCTCTTTCTTCTTCTTCATTTATTTTGTTTTGAATTAAAAATTTTGGGAAAAGAAAGACTTCGGTAGCTTTGAAAGAAAAAAAAACCAAATTAAAACTTACTTTGACAATCCTTCAGATTGACAGCATCTCCATAGAAGAATGGTGCACAATAATCACAAGCACGGCCGAATGTGTTGTTTCGGCATTTCAAACATTCACCACTGACCGAATCGCATGCGCCCTCCTCTTCTGGGTCGATATTACCGGAACATTGGCACGGTTGACATATTTGGCCTTCAATCGTCGGTGTACCATAGTATCCATGTGCACAAGCCTGGCATTTTTCGCCAGTGTAGCCTTCACGACATGTACAGTGAACTTTGTAACCATCTTCGGAGATTTCACATTCAGTGGCAAAGCTTTGAGAGGGAAAAAAATCATCAATTATTTCCTATTCCCAAAGAAGAACTCGTCATTGTGCAAAAACTTACTTGTTGCTATCGATTGGCAATGGGCATGCACAGATCATACAGTCGTTTGGTGAACCATATGTGGCATTACCATGGTATCCAACAATACATTGTTCACAATGATCTCCAGTTGTCGAATGTTTACAGTTCTGTGAATCAAGAAGAATTGTAAAGTTAATTTTTATTATTTTGAATCAAAATTTTTGATTGTTCAAGAAATCAAGAAAAAAAGTTCACTTACGATGCAAACTCCTGTGTTGAGATCGCAGGTATCAGCATGGCCGTTACAATCGCATGGAATACAGTATCCACCATGCGGCCCATTTGGATCACGATAATAGCCTGGTGCGCAATCTTCGCATGAATTTCCTGCGTAGCCGGCCGGGCAGTAGCATCGTTCGACCGAAAGCTCTTCGTATTTATCGTAATTGTCTTCATCTTGATCGGCCATCACCAAATAAGCATCCGACAATTGGCTAACCAATGGTTCATCCCAATAAGTGGCACGAATGTAAATGGCATTCAATTGGTTTAACACATGCATGAATTGTTCGCGGGTAACTGGCGCACCGGAAAGCGTAGTAAAGCTTGATTCAACGATTTTCACCGATCCTTGGAAGGCTTGCTCATTGGCTGGTTGTTCGTAGCTGTTGTGTAAAAGTGTTTGTGTTTTACCCTCAAGAATAACATCCGGACCGATCAATGCCTTGGCAAACAAAACGGCTGACGAGTATAATGTGTACGTTAGACTGCCACCGTATGCCGTCAAATGATTCTTTTGATCTTCCAAATAGTCAAGAACACCAAAGTAGATAAGCTCATCTTTATCCTTTTTCAATGGAAAATCCGTTTCGATGGTTGTTTCATTGGCAAAGAGATCCTGCGGGGCGATTTGCCATCGGTGAACTTGGGCTTCAATTGGTGACAGTTTAATCGTATTCACTGACACATCCTTCAACATGCTAATATTGAATGCACGCAAATATGCCCGTTCACAGCGTGTTGTTTTGCCGAAACAGAAACATTTTGTACAACCCTCTGGATTTGAATGCTGCAAATTGTATGTTCCATCAACACATCGATCACACTGTTGACCTTCAACATTCTTTTTACAGAAGCATCGTTCATCTTCTTGATCACAGATTTCTGGTGTGGTTCCTTCAATGCTACAGCGACATGGCTGACAATGTGGGAAACTGAAGAATCCATTGCGACAATGATCACATTTTCTTCCTTCAATATTTGGACGACATCTATTAAGCCAAATAGTATCGATAAATAAATAAACACATTTAATTATTGGAAATAGCCAGAAAATGACAGATAAACTTACGCGCATGAACCGTTATTTAGATCACATTGAAGTTCACCGTTGTCAACACCCAATGGATCACAATTACAAAGCTCACAACCGAAGAATTGATCGAATCCAAATGAATATGGTTCGCACTTGTCGCACTTTTCGCCAGTTACATGAGGTGGACAGATACAAGCGCCGGTGTCTTTTTCACACAACGATTTCGATGGGCAATCGCATGGTTTACAATCGGGGAAACCGTAGAAGCCTTTAGAGAATAAACAAAAGCTCACATTTAGCTGCAATTCAAGCAATTCTATTTGCATTTAAGTAAGTACCTGTTCGACATGCATCACACTGTCGTCCAATGATGTTTGGTTTACACTGGCATTGACCACCGAATGGATCGCACTCAAATGACGTTGAACCTTCATAGTCGCAATTACATGGTAAAGCTCCCTTATTGTAGTCAGCGGTCAGTGAAAATACGGATTGTTTACAGAAATCGGATGCATTCAATTGAATGTGGAAATGATCTTGGCCACACCGTTCAATGAAATCTTTCGTTTGATCAATAGTTTCTTCTTGCAAAAGATCATCCTTGAATTGAGTCTCAGGAACGATAAGCACATAATCCAACCAAACGCCCTTTTGTCGTGTATTCTAAATCAACGAAATTTGTAAAAAAAAAATTAAATTAAATTTTCTCAATGAAAGCAAGTTTTTTTTTAGAAAAATATAAAAATGTCATTGGATTTCATACCGTGAATGTGATTGTCACATTTTGTTCCAATTCAAATGATTTGGCTCCGTTGTTCTGTACAGTAATTGCTCGGCATCCCGAATTCGATGGACAGTTTCGCAAATTTAGCTTGCCATCATACGACAATTTATCAGCGTCAATTTTGTATAAAATATCGAATTTGGCATGATTTGGTTGATAGTATTTGACCAAAATGTTGTAACGCCCTGAATTTGGCACTTGTGATTTGATTTCGATGGTGCTATGTCCTGGTCCAAGATAAATCAATTTCGTTTCATTGTTGTACAAATCCGTTGGACTGTTTTCGGCTACTTCAGCGAAGCTCTCAAATTCAACCTGAATTTTGATCGAGAACAATTGATATTTATTAATACAAATAGCAGTTTATATCAAGATATCGCGGGATAAACATATATGTAAGTTAGTACCTTTTTCGAATCTGGTGCACCTAAGAATGAAGCCTGTACACAAGATCCACTCTTCATAACGCATACCGGGCTTGGTGTGATCAAATCAAGTGACCATTCTTCGACTGGGATTGCGGTGACTGACTTGATAGCAACATGAGATCCTTCATCTCCCTATAAATCAAATAGAAAACGTTTTTCTCTCAATCGAAATTCGCATTGATTTGGGAATTTGTTGAAATTCACCGTTATTTGGAAGTTTTGTGATCCTGGTGTGCTCAATGTGAAAATTTGTTCCGTCGAATCTTCGTCAATAACTGGTTGCCGGCAAACGGTGGTATACAGACACGATGGGAATGTAATGAATCCTTCTGGTTGATCGCTTTCCACCAATTTTACTTTCAATTCATATGAATCTGGGTGTTTTCGTTCGGTGACATAGTCAACGACAACGATATATCGACCAGCTTTTGGTACGTCGGTCACATAATTCAAGCTTTGTTGCAGCTCATTTAGAAGTGGCAATGGTCTTGAATTGATCAATTGCAAATGTTCATCATCATAGTATACTTCGGTGGCTTCTTCACCATCGGCGTTGAAACCACGTGAAACTGGTCGAAAATCTTCAATCGATGGATATTTATAGTGTCGACATGTTTCAACGTCACCCAATTCACATGGGTTCTCGATTTTTTTCGTCAAAATTGTGGCTTCATAGTAGGCAGCTGGCAACAAAACGAAATAATCCAAAAATAGATACTTATCAGTTTTAACACTGATTGTATAACGTCCTGGATCCAACACAAACGCCGATGGAATCTCGGGACCTTTCGACCCGGAAACCGTCACAAATTGTGGCTCGCTGGTTGGTTTGAACAACACTTTCGACGTTTGATCTACTTCATTCGGGTTATCGCTGAATTGTCGAATTAAAAACAAAAAACGTATGAAACACACATTGCGAAATTCTCTAGGATTGACAATGAAAAAGAAAAGAAAATGGTCGTGGTAAACATACCTAGTAACTAAGATGGTTGCGACGATATTTTCATTGGTTGGATTAACATAACGAATGACCATTCGATAAACTGACGAACCAATAATGTTGACTTCGTTCAGCAATTCACTTTGCAATGCCGTAAATTTGGCATAGCCTCGTTTGCTGAATCCAGGAAATTGTGATTCGTCAAATTCATAACGAACATGGGCACCGGATGGTGTGTAACCGTCTTCGAATTCGAATTGATTCTGATACAACGTTGGATAGTAATGAGTTGTAAGTGTTTCCGAACACTTTCTGCCACTAATCCGCGCGTGGCATTTACACTGGCCTGTTTCTTTGTCACAATTACTGTGCACCGAACCACCGACATCACAGTTACAGTCTTTACAACCGAAAATATTTCCACCCACCAAATCGAATGTACCGTCTTTACACTCTTTACAGGTGCGACCCTGAACCGATGGTTTGCAATGACATTGACCAGTTTTTGAGTCACATGTATCAAGGGTACCAACGGTTCCTTCTGTGAAACAGTCACATTCATCACAACCCAAATGGTTTGTGATGTTCAAATTCCAGTACAGTGGTTTACATTCGTCACAAATGCGCCCAGTAACTCGTTCTTTACACTGGCACAGCTCACCGGCTGGCACCTGTTGAAACAAATAAATGTTCAACTCATTCTCGTTTCTTTTTACATTTGTTTCTACATACCGAGCCACATCCAGAGAATCCGGCTGTCACACCAGCTGGATCACAGTTACATTCTTCACAAGCAGGATAATTGTAGAATCCTTCCTTACATTGGCCACAATTTTTGCCGTCATAGTTTCGGTAGCAGCTACATTGGCCGTCGGTGTTACATGAAACGCCATTTGATCCAGGAGATTCACAATTGCATGCTACGGAATACCATAAAAGTCATATAATCACCATCAATAATCGATTATCCATTTTTGATCATTTCATTCAAATGGATATTTTTTTTAATAAATAAATTCACTTACGTAAACATTGTGGATAATCATAGTAACCAGCGCTGCACTGTGTACACTGTTTTCCGGCAAAGTTGTTCAAACAAGGGCATTTTCCCAAAGCATCGCATGCCGTCGAGTAACTGCCAACTGTGGAACAATTACATTGTACACACTCTGGATAGTTGTAGTAGCCGGGCAGACATTGATCACAACGTGGTCCACCATAACCCTCTTTGCACAAACATTTGCCTCCTTGTTTATCACACACTTCCGATTCGGTTCCTTGAAGATCGCAATTACAGTCTGAGAACAGAACAAAATAGATTTGTTAAACAAATTCAACAGGCATAAGTTTCATTCGACATCAATATTCAGAAGAAATTTAAAAAAAAAACACACTTACAATTACACTCTGGATAGGCAAAGTAACCATCTTTACAGCGATCACAGTGTGCACCATCGAATCGTGGATTACAAATACATTGGCCAGATTGGAGGTCGCAAACATCATTCAGAGAGCCAGTTGGGTCACATTCACAAGCCAAACACTCTGGTCCATAGAAACCGTCGGCGCATCGTTCACAGTAATCGCCAGCAAAGTTTGGTTTGCATGGACATTTGCCATTTGACGATTCACAGTAGTAGCCTTCGGTACCGTTGATGTTACATTCACATGGACGGCAATTTGGATAGCCAAAATGACCAAACGAACATGATTTACAATCGGGCTCTTGGAATTCCTTTCGGCATTCACATCTTCCAGTTTCTTCCTCACAATTACCAGTCGAGAATGACAAATCGCAATTACAATCTATGTAACACAAACAATTGTTAGTAAAAAAGGGAAGTTAATCGAATGAAATCAATTGATGATAATATGATAAAACAACTTACATCTGCAGACATCGGTTTCATTCCAGTGTTTTCCGTATGGTCGATAGTATTTCGGTTGGCATTTGTTACAGTTAATACCTTCGGTATTATGTTGGCAGTCTTTACATACACCGCCACCTTCATAGTTGCCGTGAATATCCACAGATAATCCTTGACGATCGATTTCTTCGTCATAAACACAATTGATTGAGTGGCCGTGACAATTACATGCTGCGCATAAGAAAATAGTGTTCATTAGGTGCATATAATGAGGACAACATACACAGAGAGTAAGAGACTTTATCAATTAAGATTTAGTGAGAAAAAACAATTTTACGTTCGCACTGGAATGGGCGTCCTTTGGTATTTTGTCTCCATTTCTTCTGTTCGTATCCGGCTTGGCACTCGTTACAATGAATACCAGCAGTATGATGACGACATTGGCACGCTAACAATCTTGTCGAACTCTTCGGGTCCAGAACATCACATGTGTCTGCGTGACCGTTACATCGGCAACGACCACCGATCGAAATATCTTTGATGGAATAGAAATACTGGAAAATTCAAAACCAAATTAATTTCCATCCTGCAGAAGAGCCGAATAAAAATGGACTTACACGTCGTGTAACGGTTGGATCTTGTCGTGCAACCGACATCAAATGTCCCAACAGATTTTTCGTTCGATAGAAGCGGAAACGAACGTTTGTGGCACGAGTCCATTCTTGCAAAGCCGTTGAATTGAAGTAGTTATTTGCCGATGGTCGATTGTTTAAAAGCATCACCGGAATTTCACCATCTTCCAATGGCACAATTTTCGAATATTCCGTCGTACAAATGACATCGTCATCTTTTGTGATTGGTTTTAAGCTATCGCGTCCGAAGAATGTTTCACAATCGGCGGGTGTATCGGAGAAATGTTGCCATGGTGTCCATGTTTGACCGTAATCCGATGACTTTTCCAGTGTCCATAAGCCAGGACGTGGCGAATTACCCATTCGAATGAACAAATAGGCGACATGAAATTCCTGTTGAAAAAAAAAGACACATGACATGAAACTCTTGCGGCCATTACATAATTTCGGCTTTGATTTCAATATTTTTCGCTAATGTTGAACATATCAAAGAAGTTCCTCTCGAACAAAAAAGTTTATTCAACTCACAAACCAAAAGGAACACAGATATGCGTCCGACAGTGTGGAACAGAAAAAATTATCGCGCTTAAAAGCCTTATCAATATGAATGAAAAAAAAACATCCGTTCATTCGATTTCTATGCGACGGTTTATTTCGGTGATTATTCTTCTTCTCTCTCCAATGAAAGAACATATTCAAAACGAACGCGACGAATATGAGTTAGTTTTTTCTTTCATAAGATCAATAATCAGCATTATTTCGAATTGCTGTGGTATTTAATTTCAGTGGATTTTGAGCACAAACGAATTTCATTGAATTTTATTTGAAACGTCTGAAAGCATATTCATCGAAGGTTTTTTTTTAAATTGTCCTCAAGAATGTAATGTATCAGCGAATATGTAGAAAAACTAAGTAGAATTGGGTAATTCAATAACAATGTACTCGATTTTGTGTGAGCCTTTGGATTTGCTGGAAGCAATGTATGAATGAAATATGAACATCCGTATGTAATGAACAGTTGATAAGTGTTGCTATCGCAACTCAAAATGATAAAGATGATTTCCTACATGAGACATGCATATGTAAGAACGTTAAAAGAACAATCCGAATTAACAGCTATAATGTTAAACGGATACATTTAGTTACTAGACCAAAAGAAAGTCACAGAAAACACAGTTTACTCCTTTTTCATTCGGTTACACACTGATATAAATATTAAGCTGCTCTATTTTGTAATTGTAGCTCAAACGAATCAATGGTTTTAACCGAACCAAAACCCCATGTACATATGAGTACTCGCAACACTCATTTGAACTGGCAACGAATGAAATTCTGATAGAAAACATAAATTAAAAAACTGAAGCGATAAGCATGAAAATATCAAATAGCTTTTTGTTGTGTGTGCGGCGCATTTGTTGAACACATGTGTCTCATATTGAGTTTCTTGAAGAACAAAAAAAATGGTTTTTTTATGACTGCCAGACTATACATTTGGCTTAGCATTAGCATTTAGTGCATATATGAAATTTGGGGAGTAAACCGACAATAAAATAGAATTCACACACATGACGCAATCTATGCTCGACTTTAAATAGAACATGGAACAAAAGTTTAAAGTCATGAAATGATAATTGTACTGCGACTCGGAAAATGGGATTTGAAATTTCATTTCAAGAGAGAATTCAAACCGAATAATTTGAGTGATTGATTACTTACTTGACCGAAATCGATGGTTAGGTTGACTTCATTGTATTTCATACCACGTGACAATGGAGGACTTTGCCACCAATTTGATGTTCCATCAATGGCATACTCTGGAGGATGTGCACGATCAGGCCGCGTTGGGTCACAATAATCACAAACCTAATTTCGAACAAATGCAACAGTTTTTAGTATTCCAATGCATTGAATTTATCTCTACTCTGCCGTTTCTTGGTTTCAATTGGAAATTTTAAAAATAAAATACCGTTGAACTGGTAGATTGGAACAAATTTAATGCTTTTTGAAGAAATAAACTATAAGCCTTTAAGTAATGTAATAAATTGACAAAAATGCGAATGACTGCAATGCTTGATTAGCCTCAAAGAAGAAGTGATAAAAATCCTTACTTGTCCTTGGATCACTTTATAATCATGTTGATTGTTATCATGTTCAGTATTTGCTCCGACCAATTTACAGTATAATTCAGGACCATCGCTTCCAACACCACAAGTGGCTGTGGCAGTGATGTGTCGTCCTTCGGCCAAATTGAAATACGGCGGTGTTAATTCAGCTCGAACATTTGAGATGGTCAACACAAGCACGGACACAATCACCGCAACCAAATATTCCGAAGAATATTTAATTGGATTCATGTTTAACTAACCGATTCGATGCACCAAATCCGAATTCAGTCGTTTCAGATTGCACGCACTATTTTAAACTCCTACCAGATAAAATAGATCACGAGAAATGTAGAAATTTTAATTAAAATTTTGTTTATTTTTCAACAAAACACACACTCAAAAATTCCGATACAAAAACACAGCAAATGCGAGCGATCGTCGCGAATGCATTATAACAAATGAATCTAATTGAAATGCGCTTACTTCGTACTTCGAACGATTCTTTTTCTTTCTGTTTTTTTTTTGTTAGTTCTTTCTCTGCTCTGTGTGTGTACTTAAAAATTTTGTTTTCGTTTTTTCTCTGTTCCTTATTCCTCTCCTTCACACATGTGAACACTTGCACACATCGCATGGACCATCCGTCTGGGACGATCATCAACTTGTAACTAATTCATAAATTCAGTTTGATCATGTTGTTCGTACATTGTACGTTGCTCAAAAGATAGAACTAGAGTATTGTTGTTGTAATTCTTTACGTTCTTCGTTTTTTTTTCTCTTGTTATATTTTGTTTCATCTCTTGCTCGCTTAGGATTATGTGTCCCATATGTAGTATATAGTACTAATATTCTTCTTGTATTTTGACGATTGCTGCTTGTTTTTTCTCTTCGTACTTTCGTTCATTCTATATACCTCTTTCTTTTCGGTTTTTATCGCTCGTATGTGATTTTATGTTTTTCGTTCCGAAATAGGATATATGTGTTTTTAACATTGGAAGCATATATTATGTGGTATGCATGTTGCGACGCATACACACATACATTTATTTTGTGTGTTATTCCACAAATATGTAAAACATACGAAATGTATACACATTGTACAATTTTGTTGAGGATCGATGCGAGGGAAGATGGATTCAGCAATTCTTTCTATTTTCGTTGGTGTTCATTCGAAGAGAAAAAAGAGCGTGACATGACCAAAAAGAAAAACACATTCAGAACTCATTGTACAGCCGCGCTAAGCGCATTTATTTTTGTCTAGTTTTCGAACTCTATGAATTATGAAATCTATGCATTCGTTGAACCGCAGCTATTTTTGACGAAAATTCTAGATGAGCGCATATGTGTTCGACATGATCCGATAACTCCGCTGGTATACGGAAGATTTGGTGGGTTCAACGATATCTTCTTCATGGATGTTTTGATGATTATGTGATTTCAAAAAAAAAAGATCGATAAAAAAGATATATATAAAAAGATATATAAGGTCCCATTTCAGTCTTAGCAACCGGCTTTTAACAAGTCTTATTTTTCGAAAGTACAGAATTTTTTTTTTTTGAATTTTCAAAAAACAAAATCCATAGGGCTCAAATATCATATTTTACTCAGAATGACTCATGAACATTTGGTGTGCAATCTATAGAAAATTTCTCCAAATTTTGCTGCAGTTCAATTCAAAGCATGTAAACAGCTGATATTTTTTTGAATAAATCCATAGCAACATTTTCCTCTTGGCATTTCGTTGTGAGATATGAGATCGCTACACATGTGTGCCCGAAATGAAACATGGGTGTATAAATTGTATCACACATATAAGACGCACCAATAGTACAGTCGTCAAATATTGACATATGATTTTCTTTTCTTAACATAAGGCTGCATTGATGGAAGCAATGCATACACAAGGCATCGGAAATAGTTTCAAATTTTTAAACCGATTTTTTGACACATCTTTCGAATCATTCACAGCAAACTTCATACGATTCGTCGTATATGTCAATCCGAAGCAAGTGTGTGATTGATAATAAACGTTTCGATTAATGTAACATTTAGTATAAGAAATTGAATGGAAAAGCGATTGGGACCGGTTAAATTTGATTTTATTTTGTGTGATTTGTAAAAATCAGTGAGTAAAAATATGTCACTGTATAAATTTGCATCGATATCACGGTATTGTGCGTCTCGCACCGTTCTTTCAACCGATAGGCGACTTATTGTGAACAATGTTCGTGGTTTTATCAGAAATCGCGGCGGCAATGAAGAAACACCAAGATCAAAACAATACCTTAAAGCATTGCTGAATGGTGTTGGTGTTGGTCTTGCCGTTGGCATTGGTCATGCCGTGTACACATCATACAAAAGCAAAGATGCCCATTTGGTGCATGAACGCACCGAAGCATTTGTGTTGGACGAATTACCGAATGTGAAAATTATTCGCAAAATTGTGAATACCAAGGACAACCATAATTTGGATCTAGTGCTGTTTCAATATCAGACGTGCCCATTCTGTTGTAAAGTCCGAGCTTTTCTGGATGGAAATCAATTTTCCTATTCAGTCGTTGAGGTTCGTTAATTAATTGTAATTTGATTATGAAAGGCGGATCCATGTGATATAACAAATGATTTGATTTGTTCGACAGGTTGATGCCGTGCTGCGTCAAGACATCAAATGGTCACCATACAAAAAGGTTCCCATGCTGTTGGCACGCACCAAAGATGGCAAATACATTCAATTGGGCGATTCGAGCATGATTGTTTCCGTATTGTCAAGCTACTTAATCGATCCATCGTTGGATGTCAGTGAATATGCTAAACTCTATCCAAGTATCTCTTATATGAATGACGAAGGCAAGAAGATTCACGATATTCTCAACAAATACCATTTGATCTATGGCGAAAAAATCCCGAAAAACAAGAGCAAAGATGATCTGGAGTGAGTATACTCTATAAATTTATTTAGAAAAACGATTTTTGCTGTGTCCTTGAATTCCAAAACATTGAATTTTTCGTTTCTTGGTTTAGTTCGGAGCGAAAATGGCGTGAATGGACCGATAAGCATTTCATTCATTTGATTTCACCGAATGTGTATCGTACGAAAGATGAAGCGTTCCAAACGTTTGAATGGTTTGCAAAAACGTCTGGCTGGGATGAATTCTTTCCGCGATGGGAACGCAATTTGATGGTTTATGTCGGTGCAACAGCCATGTATTTAATAAGTAAACGCTTGAAGAAACGACACAATCTGCATGAAGATGTGAGACAAGACATTTATGCGGCATGCAACAATTGGACGGCCGAATTGAATAAGCGTAAATCGAAATTTTTGGGCGGTGACAAACCAAATTTAGCCGATTTATCGCTGTACGGAGCATTAACGAGCATGGAAGGATGTCAAGCATTTTCGGATATTTTAACGCATACATCGATCGAACCATGGTTCCAAGCGGTTAAGAAACATGTTACCATCAACCGAGGCGAAGTTTTTAATTTATTACAAGTTCAATAGAAGATGAAGAAATTTTGTTTTTAGCTTAAATGCAAAGAAAAATAAATAAACTGCAAATCCAATGAAATTTTCCTGTTTTTCTATTCGACTGTTTGTGAGCGCCTCCACTCGTATTTTCGTGTCATGTGTACGGAGTAGCGAAATGTCAGAGTATGCTGTATATTCACGCGTGAATTGCTTTGAACCAACTTCACTGCGGTGCATGGGTGAAATGAAATTTTGTGTTGTCATTCTAACAACATACGATTGAAACGAAAGGATACAATTTACAGCCGCTTCATCAGTTTGTTGATTTGTTAAAATTTATTTGCAAGTAAAAATGGCATCATCATTGTCGCAGAAATTCCGTGATTTCCCAGAATATCAAGTTGCTGGCGCAAAAGAAGTGAATTTCAATCCATATGAATCGAACGGCGGGTAAGATAACCTTCTAAATTCCAATTGAATTGAATGTGCTGTGTGTGGTCCAATCGAAATTGATTTGTTCATGACCATTTATTTATTCCATCCAGATCTGTGGTTGCCATCGCAGGCAATGATTTTGCTGTGGTAGCTGGTGATACCCGGTTGAGCTCGGGATATTCCATTCATACTCGTCATCAGAACAAATTATTCGGTTTGTCATCGCAGACGGTGTTAGCATCGACCGGTTGCTGGTGTGACACTCTTTCGCTCACGGCATTGGTTCGTTCTCGTATGCAAATGTACGAACATTCGCATAACAAAACCATGTCCACAACGGCCGTCGCTCAAATGTTGTCGATTTTGATGTACAATCGTCGCTTTTTCCCATACTATGTGTCCAACATTTTGGCCGGTTTAGATGAAAATGGCGAAGGTGTTGTGTACAGCTACGATCCCGTTGGACACTGTGAACGGGCCAAATATCGGGCCGGCGGATCGGCTAGTTCATTGCTTCAACCCGTATTGGACAATCAAATCGGTTTGAAAAATCAAACAAATCCAAGCACCGAACCGCTCACCATGGAACGTGCCGTCGCAATCATCAAGGATACATTCATTTCAGCAACTGAACGTGATATTTATACCGGTGATTCGGTCATTATAAATGTCATCACTAAGGATGGTCTCAAAGAAGAGAAGCTGGAATTGCGCAAAGACTAAATTTCGATCTAACGCTTACCGTTGAAAATTACTTACGAACTCTTCAAACAAGATCACTAACACTTTACCTTTAATAAAGCGAAGATAAAATGGGAAAAAAAATAAATACATGAATAAAAAAAACATTTGATTTATTAAAAAAAAAAAAACGAATTTTATTTTGTCATTTTTTTCTTGTTTTTTATTTACTGCAAAAACGTATTAGTAATCCAATTGGTTTTCTTGTAATACAGTTAGGGATATCATTCCACCACATTGAATACATTTGTGTAAGGAATCGAGAAATTATACTCATTTCATTGTTATTGTTGTTGCTTCTTCTTAAATTTAAGATGACCAAATGCATAAAGAACCAGCAAGAATGAATAAAAAAAACGCATACATTCAATTGAATTACTCTGCACAAATAGTGACATTTGAAAACCATTTTTTTGAACATCATGTGAAGGAAAAGAAGTGATCAAAGTTGTTATCTCATGTGTGTGTGTTCTTCTTTTATTTAAAAAAAAATGACTATTCGATTTTGTTATTCGCTTTCAGTGAACTATTTTTCCAATGGACAAAAATGCGCAATTAATGTTTGGTTGTTTTTTTTTCTCTCTCTCTCTCTCTTTTTGAATTCATTCGATTGTGGATTTTTGTATGAAAGATATGAAATTTTTATGCCCCCCAGTGCTTCACTTTTTTGGACCAGGAGGCACCATTGGTTGACCACGATCTTTGCCACGTAATTTTACCCCAATTATACGTTCAATTTTGCCCAAGATAACGTTATTCGGGATGCCACGGCCAGCTTCATAGTCGGTAATGATTTGTGGTTTTTCGCAAATTTTCTGTTGGCAACAGAACGATAAAAAACGGAAATGATGATCACTTAATAAAATCGAATCAAGTGTGGATATATAGATGATGTCACATCTGGTTTTTAACCAATGAAAAAAATGGATATATCTACTAACCGCAGCCAGTTCGGATTGTTTAAGACCTTTTTGTTTGCGACCTTCCTGAATGATTTTGCCGACTTCCAAGGGGATTTTATCATGTTTCAATTCTTCAGTCTCACGGTCGAGTTTCGCAGTATTTTTGGTAACGACATGTTGCTTATTCGTTCCAGCACCATCTGCATCAAAAGAAACAAATCAATTTTTTAATTTTGATCATTTCATTTTGTTTCCGGATACACAAATGGAATTGGAAGTGCTTTGTCTACTTCAATCGACGAACCGACCAAAAAAATCAATGAAATAGACTCAATTCGAGAATGTGAATGCAAACATGTTACGATATATTTTTTGTGGGTGTTAATTACATTTTTGTGATGTATCAATGTTTAATCCTTGCCGGCGAGCCTGAAATCAAAAAAAAAACACAAACAAATGAGCCAATTTTTGAATGTGCACATTGCCGAGAATATTCTAGCAAAATGAAAAACAACAACATTGAACAATAAAGAAGAAGAAGTGAAAAAAAATATATATTCTAAATACTTGGTTTATGGCTCCTTCGGTTTTCATGGTAGATGCTTTTGGTTGTCGCTTACGCAACACAGTCACCGAATCCCAATCAGACATCTTCTCCAATTATTTTCTTATTTTTAAAATGAATACAAAAATTTTGCCCGATCAATTTCCGAAATGCAATGTCGTCGCTAGAATGATGAAATATTGAGAAAAAAATTGTGTTGTTCCGTTCATTCCACTCACTGTTGGTGATGATGAATATGCGAATGTGCGCACGTAGAAAAATCTATACAATACGAATGTGTTTGTGGCGATGTGTGTATGGTCTGTAAATAAGAAAGCGTATAACATGGAAAATGACGTGTGAACCGGACATAAGTCGCGTACAATGCAATACACAAAAAATAGAAACATTATTAACGATGATGAAATTACTTTAACTCACCTACGACACGGTTGCACTTATTCCCACCGTTGCGTTGCGGCTTTAATAATTAATAGAATTTCATCATTTTTACGATGAATCATATCAAAGGCGATCAAAAATAAACATCTCATATCAACGAAAAATAAATGTGAGTCAACTGAAATTGTGATAGCAACGAATTGGTAATGTGAACGTTACGAAATACGAAAATGCGAAATACGAAAATCAATATTGGGCCGTCGTACGACGGATTTGAAATGAAATCACGCATTAACATGACATATGGCCCGCACCTAATCACCAAATTCACGTCTCTTTCTCTCTTGCATTCTCAGTGGATCTGATTGCGTGTGTTAGTGCGAGCATATATACATATATATGTATATCAGACGGGGCAGTGAACCACTACATTCAACCTCTATAGATTGTATATTTTATTTTGCACAAGTATTCTTCCGACTATATTGTCCACTCATTTTTGTTTGGTATTAAACAAAATGGTTTTTATTTCCATTTAATATTGATCTATGTGAAGAAAAATTCGCATAACAACATAAATTAATCATACTTTCTCTTAATTAATGATCGGCTAAGTAAAGTGGTGACTTATATTTTAGATATATAATACATTTTTTATATTTCTCTCCTGTAAGCTCCGAAGAGAGCAGCATTCATATTCCAAATGATTATAATAAAATTCGTCGACAAGAGCGAGTACAATACCTGAGTGTAGTGAGTGCGGTGCGACTGGTTTGCATTTCAATTGCATTGCACTTTGCAAGTGAAAAGTCACAGGAGAAATGATACAATTGAAATCAACATTTGAATGCAACACAGAGATTTGCAGATAACAGCTGTAGGATAAGCAATTTTCTCGCTTTCTCACAGCCGAACACAGTACCAATTTCTGATCTGCCAAATTCAAAAAAAATGTTTTTCACAAAAGCAACGAAAAATAAATAAATGAAAATACCAAAATAAAACGGTGTGAGAATAATGTTAATGTCTAAATGAAAGTTGAACCATTTTTTCCAATTATGAATCTGTCGAATCGAATATCCTAATGCAGAAGAGCAAAAAAAAACATCATTGAATTTGTGTGACGTATAAGTCTGCATATGATTACGTGATTACTTACAAAATTCTTATCGTATGTTTGTGATGTGTGATGTAAAAGTGTATAGTAGAGCCATGAATAATGCAACAACAAAAGTGAACGACATATCCACCAGTTTACCTTTAATATTTTAGGAGATGGACAGTTTTTTAAAAACTCAATTCGTTTCACACTGAAAAGAAAGAAAAAGAAGAAAAAATACCAACCAATTTCACTCCTCAGACTTGCTTGCGCTCTCTATCACACTATCCCACTATCTATCCATCGCGCAGCTCTCGATTTTAATTGAAATGAAAAGTGCTAGTCAATGTAATAAGTGTATGATTTTATGGTGGCATTTTTATTTCAGTGCATTAAATTCCGAAAAGTAAATGAATGCCGCAAAAGCAGCCAAAATGATAAACATAAGGAGATGAACGAATGGAGTCAAGCACAGCATAAAATTTTGTGGCACATTTTCTAAAAATAAACAAACAAACCAGCCAGCAAGATTCATCAGTCCAGACAACATAGACAAGAAAACCAAAAAAAGTACAACAACAATCGATAAACGACGACGACGACGACGACGACGACAGCGACGACGACTCGCTTACTAACAAAATTACAAGAGGCATTGTCTTTTGTGCATCGCACTTAAAACGGATATGGGAGCACAACAAGTGAAAGAAGGAAGAGGTGCAAGTAGTTGCAATCCCATTAATGCTGGACTAAATGCAAATATCGGCGCAAACACAGCCAATTTGTCATCGGCAAACTGCACGGCAACAACCAATTCGGTGGCGGGCGGTGGAGGCACGTTTGGAGCTGGTTCTTCGTTGCGTGCAAGTCGCATCAACAAATCAAGAGTACCAAAGGAGCCAAAAAATCACGCTTTAAACGTATTCACAGAGCATAATGGTAAGTATTCACAAAAAGCTCAAATTGGTATTCGAAATCGATATTCTCCAGCACACAATATTCTGTCAAGGTCTTTTGAACACAATATGGTGGTGGTGGTGATTGTGGTGTCATTGTTGTTATTATTACTATTACCTTCTCTGAATAAAGAACATCCAATCGGATTGATTTCCACAGAAGCCCTGTTACAACTACGTCCATTACCGCATATTCCAAAATCTCAACTACAAACACGTGATATTGATTTAAAACCCGATGGTGTTCTATCGAATGTCTCGAATTCCGGATCGGGCACCTTGAATATTAGTCAACAAAATCTCGGTTTTGAGGTGGCAAATCGCTGGACGTCGAAGGAGAATTTACTCGCACCCGGTCCCGAAGAAGATGATCCACAGTTATTTGTTGCTCTATATGATTTTACCGCCGGTGGCGAGAATCAGCTCAGCCTCAGGAAGGGTGAACAAGTGCGCATTCTGTCTTATAATAAATCGGGCGAATGGTGCGAAGCACATACCGATTCGGGCCTAGTCGGTTGGGTGCCATCGAATTATGTCACACCAGTTAATTCATTGGAGAAACACTCCTGGTATCATGGTCCGATTTCGAGAAATGCCGCCGAATATCTGCTCAGCTCTGGTATTAATGGCAGTTTTTTGGTTCGAGAAAGTGAAAGTTCGCCCGGTCAACGGAGCATTAGTTTGAGGTAAAATTCGTTGCATACATTTTAAATGACGACGACAACAATGCCACGGAATAATTAATGAATTTTGAAATTGGTGGTGTGTTATTTTTAGATTCGAGGGACGTGTCTACCACTATCGTATATCGGAGGACACCGATGGAAAGGTGTATGTTACAGTTGAGGCAAAGTTTAATACATTAGCCGAACTCGTGCATCATCACAGTGTACTTCATGAGGGTCATGGTCTAATTACACCATTGCTGTATCCAGCACCAAAGCAAAACAAACCGACCGTTTTCCCACTCAGTCCCGAGCCCGACGAATGGGAAATTTGCCGCACCGACATTGTGATGAAGCATAAATTGGGCGGCGGTCAATATGGTGAAGTGTACGAAGCGATTTGGAAACGATACGGCAACACGGTCGCTGTGAAAACACTCAAAGAAGACACGATGGCATTGAAAGACTTTCTTGAAGAAGCGGCGATCATGAAAGAAATGAAACATCCAAATTTAGTACAGCTTATTGGAGTTTGCACCAGGTTTTCATGCGTTTTTTTTTTCCTACTTTTCTTTTTCTCTTCACATTGCCGTTCAGTTTGGCAAAGTATGAGCGAATAAATTTTGTAATGCGATATCCGTTCTTCTTCTATCCATCCATTTCAACAGAGAACCACCCTTTTACATTATAACCGAATTTATGAGCCATGGAAATTTGTTGGATTTTTTGCGTTCGGCTGGTCGTGATACACTTGACGCTGTCGCTCTACTCTATATGGCAACACAAATAGCCTCCGGCATGAGCTATCTGGAGAGTCGAAATTACATTCATCGTGATTTGGCAGCAAGAAATTGCTTAGTCGGCGAAAATAATTTAGTTAAAGTAGCCGATTTCGGATTGGCTCGACTCATGCGCGTAAATATCTCGATTTTTTTTTCCTAGTATTCTTATCAATGCAGAAAAAGCTATAAAAATATCGCTGTCGAATTGAATTTCATTTTAGGATGATACATACACTGCACACGCCGGAGCCAAATTCCCAATCAAATGGACAGCTCCCGAAGGATTGGCATACAATAAGTTTAGTACAAAGTCAGATGTATGGGCTTTTGGTGTATTGCTGTGGGAGATAGCCACTTACGGAATGTCACCGTATCCGGGCATTGATCTGACCGATGTGTTTCATAAATTGGAAAGTGGCTATCGCATGGAACGACCGAATGGCTGTCCACCCGAAGTATACGATTTGATGAGGCAGTGCTGGCATTGGCAAGCACAAGATCGACCAACATTCAAAAATATTCATCATATGCTCGAGCATATGTTTCAGGTTTGTGTCCAACACGTTTCGAACCGCATTCATTATGACTTGACATCAGCATTGAGTTTTATCTCTAACGTTTTTTCATTGGCAATCTATTGCAGGAATCTTCGATAACTGAAGCCGTCGAAAAGCAATTGCAAGGAAACTCGCATACAAATTCAACACCGTTGATGGGAAAAAAGTCTCAGATGAGCTCACATTCCGAAAATAAAACCAATTCATCAGGTAAAACCAATTGATATTGGGAATAAATTTGAATAAGATGTATTAAGTATTGTGTTTCTCATTGAAAACTGACATTTCCTCTTCTTTTTCTCGAAAGAACCTGGATCAGCGTCATCAAAATTGTCAACGTTTTCCACTGGTGGTAGCAAAGTGAATGTGCAAATGCGACGAACAACGAATAAGAAGGGCAAAACTGCGCCAGCGCCACCAAAACGAACCAGGTAAATCTTTGTCCAAACTTTTATGCCCTCTTTTTCGTTCTCTTTGATTAAGCATTTTCATAAACTTCTTATTCCGCTTATTTTCAGTTTGCTATCAACAAATCGTGATTCAACATATCGTGATGATGATCCAAAATCGATTGACGATTTCAATTCCAATGGTACACATAAAATTGAGAAATCTTCTTCTTGCAGTAGTTTTTTATTTGATATTCTGTTCAGAGGTATAATCGGTTTTCTTTTATCTATGGTTTGGTGCATGCGTTAACCCATATAGATGATATTCGAACAGCTGATTCTGTTTGGTCTATGTTGTGAAACACAAATTATTGCTACAAACGATGATGTTTATTATTTATGTAAACATCGATTTGTATCAATGGTTTTTCTTCACATCAAACTCAAGCGGTCAGTCACGTCGAATCAGTCTGTAAGTGTTTTGACGAGATTTAATACCGTGCATTGCACTAACCACGTGTGTTTCGAACTAATCAAAAATACTCGCAGAGAAAAAAGAAGCAAATTGCTCAGCAATATGGTATGATTCCAATTGACTGAAATCAAATGACAGTTTGGCAAATCAAATGCACTATACATCGGTCGATTTATTGCCTAGCGGTATCATTTTCTGGATATCCAGTCAATTTTAATTAAACGATGTCAACGGGAAAAAATGACGTTTTAACGACGTCAATATTTTAGTTTATATCATACAGGTAAATGGTGGTATCTGCTTTCCAACCAGAATCCAACGAAAAAAAAATTGATTCAAATACACAATTTTCAAATGGTCGTTTTAATATTTTAGTAGTCCAATTAATAATTCACTCATACAAACTAACGTGAACAGTTGACATTTATGTATATAGAAATTTCTTCTGAATTTTTCTTTTTATTCCAATGTACATATATGTCAATTTTGAATGAATTAGATATGGATTTTTGTGAGTAGAAATATTGGAAGCAACAAAAATCGATGTCCATTTCATTGAATGAATTATTCAACTTGTTGAACGTTAATTCAATTAATTGATGGTTTGATTTTAATTCGCATGAATTGAATTAGGCTTGACAAGAGAAATAGCGGCATTGAGTGGAGGACGCGGTGATTCGGAGAATGAAACCGCCGATATAACGCCGGATACAGACACCGAGAGTATTGATCACATGCATCGAAATATGCACGGTTCATTCAAAAAGCCCACGCCAGTGATGGGCAATCGTAGTCTGGAGAGTCGAAACAGCAAACACCATTCACAAGCAAAGAAAGAACATATCGCCCAGTCAAATAGCAACAACATTATGGACAGTGGCCAATCGAGTTTGGGCAAACAGCCCGTTACCGTTGGTGCACTGGAAGTGCAGAATGTGAAGCGTGCAATCAATCGCTATGGCACACTACCGAAAGGTGCCCGAATCGGTCAATATTTAGAATCACTAAAAACCAATGAAACAGACACTTCCATGGCATCGGATCTACCGCCACCGCCGCCAATCAATTCCAGGTAAGTTTCAGTACAAAATACACATTCATAAACATCAATCCATTCTATGTCTATCGCTTTCGCCCGCTTCTTAACTCTCGCTCACCTTTTTTCAACCATATTGCATACACACATAAAACCATAGTAGCTTGAATTCAAATGCTGCAATGTCGCCTCGTTCAGCGATGAAAACTCAACCGCAAATGATTCGAAGTAATTCATCTGGTGGTGTCATAATGACCAATTCAATCAATTCGAATTTCAGTAAACTGCAACGACATCGGACTACCGCCGACGGTGTAATGATATCATTTTCATCATTCCGCAGCACGAGTGGGAGCCCAAAGCGTTCGTTTAATCCATCATTAGGTAAGGACATTTTGTTTGTTTTCCCTTCATTTCTTATCTCTGGAAAAATGCATGAGTTTTAATTGATTTCATCGAAATTAATGTTTGAATATTTAGCTGATCTAGAGTTTCCGCCACCGCCATTGGATCTACCGCCGCCGCCCGAAGAATCAAATGGCGACGGAATGCAAATTTCACAGTCAACAATCAACACACTATCGAATGATGTGGCAACCACTGAGCCGAGCGTTGAAGAGGCAAGCTCACGGTTTGGTGTGAGTTTGCGTAAGCGTGAAGCATCAACCGATTCATGTAGTTCGCTTGGCAGTCCAGCGGCCGGAGTTACCAATGATATAGTCAACGATAGTGCAGCCACATCGCAGGCAATTGCAAACAAGAACAAGGGGAAATTGGAAATGAAACTCGTGGCCGAAATCAAAGAACGAAATGAACAATATCAACGAAACAAACCAATTGGAGATGTGCCAAATACTAATAACTACCATTGTAGCAATAACAATAATAATAGCGTAACCAAATCAAACGATCATGTATTACAATTGGTGAATGAATTAGCCGAAACGATGAATTTACCCAAAACAATGGATTCAACGGCGAACAATTTCAAAGCTCAACTGAAAAAAGTCGATTCAAATAAAAAGTCACACAGCAAAACGACGGCCGAAAGTTCAACAGCAGTACCGTTTGATTTTAAATCGAGACTGCGAAAAGTGGAGAATAACAATGATAACGAAACGACTGAATCAACGTCCGAGTTTCGTAAAGTGTTGGACAACGATACAACGGATGCACGCGGCAGTGTTTCAAAAAAGTCCATATCGAAACGAAATTGTGATCGAGTCAGTGGAGGTGGTGGTGTTGGAACAACAACTGATGGTCCAGACAGTGTTTTGGGCAATGGCAAGAAGACACTCAACGAAACAAAACTGATTGATGGGAAAAAGACTGATTTTAAAGTGGATCTGCCGGATGGCAAGGATAGCAAAGACAAAAAAGACACCGATCCCAAGTGTAACACAACAATGACCAGCGAAGAAGAGGATAAACGAAGAAGCACCGGTAGCATAAGCAGCTTGAAAAAATTGTGGGAAGCCAAAGAGGGTAATGGTACGATGTCGAATAGTGAAATGTCACAGATACAGTTGAGTCCGAAATTGGCCACCAAGTCGACACTAAGTAACAACAATAAGAGTAACAATGACGAGGAGTTCGATGCATTGAGTGCAAATAAAAAGCCGGCCGTACCAACAAAACCAACGAAATTGGTGAGCATCTATGCGACACCGATTCAGGTGAAACTGCATTCGGAATCGGCAACATCACCATCATCTTCCACATCGATTACATCGAACAATACAACGACCCAAGTGAGTCGTGAAGCAATCTTAGATCTAATCCAATTGTTAGAAAGTACGCTGAAAACGCCAATCAATTCAATATCGGCATCGCAATGGCTACAGCTCAGCGACAAGCTGAACATTTTACAAACATCATGCGTATCATTTGCCGACAAAGCATCCATGGCACCGCATTCAAAGTTTCAATTCCGTGAATTGGTGTCACGTGTTGAGAATCAATCGCGTAGCCTACGATCGGCCGGCAGCAAAAATACCCAGGACAATGAAAAGTTGGTTTTCGAAGTTGGACAGTCATTGAAGCAAATATCGAACGCTCTTCATCGATAAGTGTTCGTATTTTGCTCGGGCAGGTCATTTAAACAGTGTGTGACAGCACCAATGTGCAACTAGTTTGCTCAATATACAATTTTTTGGGGAACGATTTTACTAATTCTTTTTTCTCTATAATTGTTAACTCAATTTTTTTTTATTTAATCTCTGTCAAAAGATTAACCATTGGAAATTTAGGTATTATAACATTTGTGATCTGCATGCTCCACTGAAACAATAACCTCACCATCTGAGACCATTCGACGAAAGCAAATGATTCGTTTCCATGCTGCATTTTTTTTTCTTTTCAAAAAGCTCAATGAACCGAACAAAGTAACATAAAGAAACATTGATATCAAAATGTGTGCTCCAATAACAAACGAGAAAAAAAACGAACGAAGCAATCGAAATGATCAAAGTTTATATATAGTGAATTCCCTGAAGACAAATACAATTCGCGATGAATATATGAACAAAGTGAAAACACAGAGATAATAAAATAACATTGAAGCTCACATCATTCTAGTCTTTCATAATATAATCGAGAAGTTGACAACGGTCTCGTTCCGAATATACATAAATCTATATATATAAAAGAGAGTTTCAGCCAAGTATTGTGAAGGTCATTGATTCATTAACATTTATATTGATTACATGCGTGCATGATGATGTCTGTGTGTGTATGATCAATCATGAATTCAAATGATTTAATGACCATAGTTTTATTTTTTTTTAATTATAGATTTGGAATAATGGGTTGCACACAATTTCCGGTTGCCGGATCCAAAGAGTCTTAATGTAGTTTGTGTGCACTGAAAATTTGCATACAAATTGCATTTAGACGATTTTTTCCGTCCAACTAGAAATCGTTTGCATTGTTATTCCAATCGAATCAAATATATTTGAACGAAAACAAAAATTTATCGAAACTCTCTGATGATATTCACGTGACGAGCTGCAAGCAAACAGTGTCGTATTACTTGTTCGGTTGACTTCGTTTCATTTTTTTCCCTTTTATTAATTCATTTTCGTTTCATATGGAAATTTCTGCGAATGTGGCACATAAAAGATATGCGATGAAGCTCTGTTGTCATTCAAATCATTCAAAATTGTCACATTCACTGTTCTATTACCAGTTTAGCAGAATAATTTCAATGTATTGCTTGCCACCGCATTTCGTGACCAAAGCCACGTAATATGATCACTGTTTGCACGCAATATGTCAACATATGAAAATTGTATTGTATTTATTTTTTTTTTTTATACTCCCATAGCAATTTTTTTTAGTATAATTTTTAAACCATTTTAAATTATATGAATAATACTTATATCCTATTCGTCAAATCAAAACACGATAAGAAAATGAAGTGGATGAGAGAAGAAGAAATATGTGGCAAAACGTAAAGGAAAAAAAAATATCCATTTGATAATTTAACAAAATAGATTGATAAATATTTTGAACCTCGTGTGCTCATAGAAGTTTTAAGTCTGTCTCGTAGATATTTGTTTTTCCCACATGTTATTTGAAATGGTTGCAACTCCGCTTTGATCGGTTTCTCCATTTTCTTTTTATTTTAATGAAAATACTTTTCAGTTGTATATCAATTTATGTCAAAACTGGAATCAAAAAACCAACACAAACACATACTCAAAGTCCAAAGATTCCATCCCTATATACATACAATTAACAAAAAAAAGACCGACACAACAAAAATTAACAACAACAACAACAATAAAAACAAAGAAAAAAAATTCATAAAGAAAAGAAAAAATTCTAGCTATCATAAGATTACTATTTGCTATCGTAAGATTGCTAGCTTAATGACGATGCATCTGTATTATTAAACTTAAGCGCTTATGCCAAATATTTCAAAATTGGTATACATATTTTAATACATAATATTAATACGTAAAAAAAAACAACAAATCATATTTGTATTTGTCAATATCGCCGCATCTTTTAAAATTTGACCATCAAAATAACGGAGAAGACCAAACTTTCAAAACCAATTGAAATGAGAACAAAATCTAAGGAGAAAAAAAAAACCAAATTGGGGACAACTATATATCCAAAGTTTGAAAAAAAATTGAATCGTAATTTTTTTTTTTGCTTACATTTCACAATTTACAGCAAATTTCACGTATGCAATTCTATGAGCCTGATGAATTAAAAAAAAATTCTGACATACTAAATGTATTATTTTTTTTGCGAACGTAATGACTAGATGAATTTCTAATGTTTAGCTTTAAGATTGAGAATTTCCACAATGAAATGGTGATATATTTTTTTCCGCTGGCAAAAATGATTGCAAGTGCTCTCTGCCTCGACTTGTTTATCTTTCATTGATCTATATTTCTCACCCATTACACTCATCATCCCTCACACACACACACACCCTCTAATCAAAATAAGATGAAACAAAAAAAAGTATCTACAAAAAAATGAATTATGGAGTAGTGTATTAAGGAAATAATATTGGTATTATTCATTCGAAATGCGATGTTTAATTTCAAAGTCTGATCAACGAACGAATTCAACCATTTTGGTTTTTTAAAACAAAAAGAAGAAAAATAAAGAAAAAAAAATCGTGTCTTTTAAAAGAAAAACAAAACAAATTGATTCCATGCTCGTCTTCTCAAGCGATCTCTTTGAACTAAATTTACCAGTAGAGCATACATTACGGAACGAGGACGAAAAATTTGATTATGAAATGGATAAATTTATAATTTTACTCGAAAGAAACGGAAGTGTTATAGGTCCTAGTACAGAGAATGTAATGGGGGAAATGTAACACAATGCGAATATGGCAAACAACATTTTGAACATTTAAATTTAATCATAAGAAAATGACAACTGTAATTTTCAGTATTGCGTACGAAAATGTTCTATTTATTTCCAAAATAAAATATTAAAAAAAACAACCATGATTGATAGAACTGTTGTGTTCTTTTTTTTTATTGTCATTCTTCCTCTTTTTAGGTTTTTTACATTGTTGTTCTCTTTTTTCAACTGCTTTTTGTTTATGAATACAGTCAATTATAAAATGAATATAGTACGAATTCGCACTAAGCTCTAGAACTCGGAGAAATTGTCATTTTCGGAAGATTTACTTTTTTTTCTTATTCTCTTGGATTTTATTCTGATCATTTATTCTTATTTCTACCAATTTCAAAACAACTTCTGTTTTATTGAATATTTCATTTGACAATGACTTAAATTAAAACGTATTCAATTTAAATTTCCGCAAAGAATGAACATTCTTTTTGTGGTCAGTAAGTAAATGATTGCGCGAAAAAGTGACATCGCATATATCACATTTGTAAGGCCTTTCGCCGGTGTGTATGAGTGTGTGTCGAACCATATCCGCCTGCCGAAGAAATCCTCTCTTACAATATTCGCATTCGTACGGTTTAATGCCGATGTGTGTTCGAATGTGGCTTCTTAAAATTTTGTTCGTTGTATATTTCTTGTGGCAATATTTACACTCATGCTTATATTCGCCTTTGTGTGTTTGCAAGTGCAGCACTAGGCCATTTTCGCTGGCCAGTGTTTTTCCGCAAACTTTACACTCGCATTGATTGCTCTTCGAATGCGTATTCATGTGTTTGTAAATGGATGCTTTATGTGCAAACTTTTTCGAACAAATCTTACAGCGGTATAGCTTCTTTCCAGTATGATTTTCCCTCATGTGTACTTGTAGCGTACTTATACCGCCACGGAATCGACATAAGTAACATTCGAAAATGCGAAAATTAGCAAAATCATTTGGTTCAACATTTTCGACGATTTTCGTTCTCTGTGAATGCGGCTCGGCAAGAACTATTTTTTTGGCATGCGCTTTTTTGTGTCGATATAGCTGGAATGATGAATGAAATTTTATGCCACAAGTTTCACAGCTGAATGGTTTTTCACCCGTATGACGTCGCATGTGTATGTCAAAATGGGCTTTGGTGTTGTAGCCCTTGGAACAACTGGAACATTTATATGGCTGGTCGCTTGTGTGGATTCGCTCATGGTTTTTTACACGTTGGATCGTATTAAATTTCCTATGGCAGTAGCTACATTTTAGCACGCTATCAGTAATTTGGCCTTGCAAACTGTTCATTTGCTGTGCATCGGAATCATGTTGTTTATGAGACTTTTTTGTTTGGGAACTGTTCGAATGCTTCTCTTTTGATCCATTCTGTTTAACATTCGTTCGATTTAGCTTTTTCACTTGGGGTGGTTTCAATTGGCTTTTTGTCGAATGATAGCTACACTCGAGCCCACGTTTATTACTTTGATTTTGTACGTTGTGTTGCTGTCCATCGAGGTCCTTTTGTTGGTTAGACTTTTGTGCTTGGAAAGCTTTTGAATACCGATTTTTCAATCTGTTTGGCTCAACACTCGTTCTCGGCAACTCTTGTTTTTTCGATTGTTGTAAACTTCTCTGCGCTGATTGCTGGTTTCCTACCAATGGTCCCAGCAAATGACGTTCTTGTAAATGCCATTTTAATAGGCCAATGTTGATTGTTTCACATCTGCAAATGAAACATTCAAAGATTTTATCTTCTATTTGTTTTTTTTTATCATTGAGTTCTAATTTTATGGTGGGCACAGAATATTCAGCTGATTTCGATGTTTCTTCTTCAGTTTCTGGACATGACAACACTTGACTATTAACTTCATCATAGAATACTGGTTCTTCTTTGATGATTTGATCGTAAATCGTAACGTCTTCGATCGATTTGAGATTATTTGAATTGGTGGCCGTTTTCGATGATTCTGGGTATCCTTGCAAAAAGGTTGTTTCATCTATTTCGCCTATTTCTATCTCTGATTCTTGTTTTATTTCTATGTCAGCAACCAGCAACTGTTCACAAGGAAGACTACATGGTTCAGTTTTGATGTTTTTGAATAGTGGCCTTTCCATGATGATGGCCCGTTTGTCACCATTGATTTTTATATTATATATATACGAGTCTATTTTCAATAAAAATTGAACTTTAATTTAATATCAAGCGTAAAATTCAGTTATGCCAAAATACCCAATCATTCTGGGCTACTTTGGTATCGGTCGTTTATTCCGACCGTAAACAATGGAAAACAACTAAATTTATGTTTATATTGAGTAAAACGTAAAACTATTGACATTAGGAGTTTGACAACTTATCTGTCAGTTTGTTGTTTCGTAGTCTGTTTCGTTATGTGTCAAATGAATCACAGATATATGGCACTCCTTTATGAGTTAATTCCAAATCTTCGTTAAAAACAAATTAGCAAATTTTGCATTATTTTTTATGGAATGAGAGAGTTATAAAAAAGTTTTTTTTTCTCTTCAAATTCATCTACAATGAATACGCGTATCGGCAGTATTGCTGTAGTAATTGTGTTAGTACACAATTTTGTGATCATTAATGGTGCGGAATTTGTTGGATGCTTCCATAAGAATGCATATTTGAGGCGTCTGGATTTGTTTTCCGGGTCACCAAACGTGTGCATTGATGGATGCAAAAATGTGTATTATAGGTAATTTGCCAATACCAATGCATTTTAATTTATGTGATGTGTTATAATTTCTGAATCATTTTAATTGCCAGATATGCCGTACTTGATGGGAATTCATGCTTATGCACAAGTACGCTTAACGAAAAGGAAGTAAATTTGGACGAGTGTAATAGACCTTGTGCGGAAGATGCGGATGAATTTTGTGGTGGTGGATACGTACAATCTGTCTACGATACGGAGATCAGAGTACCAGGGCCACCGCAAAATGCAAATATAATCAATCGAAAAGAATCGTCAATTTTGATTGAATGGTCGGAACCAGAACAAAAGGCTACACTCTCTCGATACATAATACGTGCTAATGTTGTCAAGAATTATGGAACAATGCTTCCAGCGCCGCCACCAGAATGGACGATAGAAACCATCGATCACACCGTTCAATACGAGTTGGTTAATTTGCATCCAGGTAGATGAATTACGAATTTCTAACAATTTGACAGCTCATTTCTTCGGTGTAAATGGAATCAATTTAAACAATTTTTGTGGCTAAAAACCACCGTGAAATTTGATTTGAATCCAATTTTTGATTTGATTATAATCAATCTGAATGAATAAATAAAAAACATATTATTTCGCCAGGTTCAAGATACAACATCTCCATAATATCGTTCTCAAATGATTTTGGTGAAGGTGGCTCAAAATGGATAGTAGGTCCGTTTCCAATGTCTATGGCAAGTAAATTATTTATTCATTTTTCATGATGTCATCTACAAATTGATTTGTAGGCGAAACTGATATTGGTGTACCAGAACCGCCGCCTCCATCGGCAAACATTTTGAATCATAATGGTAAAACGATGACAGTCGAAATTCCGTCTCTTGTAAATAATAATGGGCCAATCACTGCCATTCATGTGGTAGTGATATTTGTCGACTCCGAATTGTTCCAACAATTCGACGAAAACCTGCTAAAGGACCATAAACATGCGTCTGAAGATGGTTTGAACTACTATATAACTGCTTCATTGGACAATGAGGTTTGTTTTTCCTGTGAATTCTCTATTTCAACCACAAGAATATGCCTTTGAACTCGCGTTTCTCTTCTATTTCAGAGTACAACACGAAAGTTTGTTATTGGTAATGGACTGAATTATGGCGGTTATGATAATGTACCATTGCCAACTGACCGACACATTCATGTAGCATTGGGTGTATTGTCAAAACTCGGAAACACTACGAAAACCCTTTACACAAGAGAGGCAATGCATGAGAAAACAGCACCGATTGCAATAGACATTGGAAACGATGGTGAGTGAAACGATTGATTTTGACTTTATGCCGTCGATTAAATCGAAATCATTAGAATGCTTTAAAATATATAAATAATCTGAAATAGGTGGACGTGATGGTGTCGAATTCATGCTTCTTATCGGTTGCGGTTTTCTCGGCATTTTGCTGATATTCAGTGTAGTGGGTTACACGTACTTGCGCCTGAAAATGGGATCACGTTTGCAACGTTTACCATCGGATCATCATGAGTTGACTGTCCAAGGGCCAATGATGGAAGTGGTATGTAGAAATCATAAAGTTATTGCTTGACCATAAGTTTCCCTAATTATTGAAGACGTTTTTGTTTCTTTTTGCATACTTCTTTCTGTGTAGGAGAATAATGACGCTTATCAACCAGACGGATTTTCGAAAAAAAGTTTCGATCAAAATATATCTGATATCCTTGATCAAGTTGAACCGAGTAAAAATCATCCCAGAAATAATGTTAAACTTGACGTTAATAAATTGATTGCAACTGGCCAATATGGTGACATAATTGGTGGAAAATTAAATGCTACACCATGTCATGTGCACGTAGTTTCAGGTTTGTGGTTACGATGTCATTGAAGTTCGTTAAAAAAAAATTGAAATATCAACTACTGAGAATGTTTCACCATTTTTCCTTTGCAGATGATATGGATACACTGTGTCAAAATCAGTTTTTAAGAGAATTGAGTGGCTTACTCAAGCTCAGTTTCCACAAAAATTTGGTCGACTTCTACGGATTTTGTCAATCAGCCAACTGGCTATATTTACTGTTTGAAGAAACGCATACATCATTGAAGACCGTGTTGGTTGGTTCACGGACGACACCCGATTCAAAGGACTTGTCCTCACTTTCGGAATTATTCATATTACAAACTCTGTGTGAACTATCAGCTGCAATGGAATTTATCAGCAATCAAGAGGTTTTAGCATTGATGAAAATAGATTTTCCATAGAATATTCTCTCACAATTTGATCAATCGCAATAATTCCATTGATTTTAATTCATTTTCAATAGGTTATCCATGGCAAGCTGAGCACTCATAACATTTTCATGACAAGTGCTAACATTCCAAAAATATCATTCTTCGGCATGTGCTTTGACAGTAATGGAAAGAAAATCGATACAAGTCGTTTTAGCGCACCCGAAGTTTTACGGTTCCAGCATCTATGTATTCAGAGCGACATTTGGTCATTTGGATGTCTCATTTGGGAATGCTGTTCATTGGGCGGAACATTATTCCCAAGCATCAGTTCAAATGAGTTGATGAGTCGAATTAAAGAAGGTGCACGACCCGAACGCATTCCCTACATCCATAATGATATGCATCAATTATTGCTCAACTGCTGGCAAATCGAGCCCAGCGAACGACCAACATTTTCCGAAATAACATCGATTTTATGGCAATTTCTATCATCACCCCAGCATATACTCTCATTTAAAAGACGAGGAGGTTACACATTGCCATACTATTTACCACTGCTGGAAGAACAAAATGCTTGATTCAATTCTCTTCCGTTCAAGCATGATTTTATTGCATTTTACCATCATAGATATGACATCGACCATTCCATGAACAAGTCATATATTAAGTGCCTTTCATTAGGGTAGGATCATTTTCACCGTAACAAAGTATCATTTTTTTAAACGATGATTTCACAATTGACACCGTCTTAAAAGACTATCTCATGCTAGTAAACATATTACAGCGGTAATCGAGTTTCAATAATGTTGAAGATAGCAGGTTTTAACAGCTTTTATTTAAAAAAAAAATGACTAAACAAGCAATTTACTTGTCTATAAACTAAATTGCCAGTTTGCAAGGTGTTTATAACAGTCTAATTAAACCACCTTTAACTATCAATTTAGTTGATAACTGTTGATTGTAAAAATGACTTAGTAGCTAGTAATTTATTTTTTCATTAACCCATTCAAAGCCGTGATCTCTTTTTTCAATTTTTTCCTGCAAAGTTCTAAAAATTTGGCTTAAATGCAAACAAAATATAAAAAAATCGATTCAATTTTAAGTCTTTGATAAAGGTGAGCATGCATACTTTTGGATTATAGTGCGACCGATTGAAAATTCATAAGATTTTCCGTGGAAAACCTTGATTTCGTCACGACGTATTTTTTCAATACAAACACAAGAAAAACCATGGAAAGATTGTTTTTTTCATGTTTTTTGTTGTCAATGTTAATTTTGAGATCAAAAGATATGTATCTGTACATGCTTGGCTTCAAAACTTCATTCCGAAATAAAATAATAATCGAGTTGTTTGAAAATTTTCCGATTCATTCCCATGTGTTGACCCCCTAAATTTTCTTTGCCGAAATGCAAAATGCCCTATTTCATATTTTGCCGAACCAAATGGTATAAATTATAAATTTTATGATAGATTCAACTTTTCTCTGTCATAAAAACGTCATTAGACGAGAAACGAAATAAAAATTGACCAATTTACGTGTTCTTGCAGAACATATTCAAAAACGGTTCCATATGGAACCATCGCTTTGATTGGGTTAAGAGCTGTTATAACCGCATCGAATAGTACCGCAACTAGTATGACCGTAATCAAATTTATAAGTTTTTTTTTTCCAAATAATTGTAGTAATTAATGCGAGAATGCGAAAGTTCACATATTTTTAACGGTAATAAGATCACATCTTTTCAATTATTAAATATAGTGACACTTTTTCACGAATAAGCTATCGCAAAATGTGAAACGATACAATTTTGTATTATCGTTTTCCGTCCATTGTAATTCCGTCCAAGAGATTACAACCGATTTTAATATTAAATAAAATCAAATTACTCTTTTTGTAATGCTATGTTATTCGGCATTCTTAAAAAAAACTTGTTTCTCTACTATTCATTCAAATTAAGAAGTGTTCTATGAAATATTGACCGGATTTCCTATTGAGCCATTAAAAATGATGGAAAAGTATATATGTCAGATCTGAATTTTTGAAAAGGCAATGAAATCGACTAAAAATTGTCATTTGGAAGTTACCTTAGTTTCTTTTTCAATTGAGTCAATTGCATTAGCCTAACAATTGGTGAATTTTCAATTCTACTTTACTCAAATGCGGAATTTTCCTTTTTTTCCCATCGAATTAGAATTCTCATTTATAAGTGGACAGACAAGATAAGTATAGCATAGTTTTTTTTGACAAATCACATAAATATTGGGAAAATTATATAAACAAATGAATGCGTCGATGTTTCTTTCTTAACAAACATTTTATTTTATTAATTTCTCCTCCTGAAAACCAGTTATTATGTATTACGTAGTTCAAACTTAGGTTACACTGAGTTACGTTTATTGTTCCGTAAAAAATGTATATTTCGTTTGTGATCAGTAAGTAAATGATTGCGTGAAAAAGTTGCTTCGCAAATATCACATTTGTAAGGCCTTTCGCCGGTGTGTATGAGCGTGTGTCGAAACATATCCGCCTGCCGAAGAAATCCTCTTCCACAATGTTCACATTCATAGGGTTTAATTCCGGTGTGGGTTCGAATATGGTTTCGCAAGATTCTCAGCGTTGAATATTTCTTGTGACAATATTTACACTCATGCTTGTATTTTTTTGCGCGCAAATTTCTTCGAACAAATCTCACACTGATAAGTTTTTCTACCGAAATGTTCTTCTCGCATATGTACTTTGAGTAGATTTGCGGGACTACCACCTGATTGGCAACGGAGTCCACACAAATAACATTCGAAAAGGCGGAATTCGGGAAAGTCAGTCGGTTCAACGTGTTCAACAATTTCGTTTGACCGCTGCGGGATCGGCTCTGGGAGTGTTTTCCCTTTGACATGGGCCTTCTTATGATTGTATAGCATCATATACGATCGAAATTTTATCCCGCAAAGTTCGCAGCTGAATGGTTTTTCACCCGTGTGAACTCGTAAATGTGCTTCAAAATGAGTTTTGTTGTTATAGCCTTTGGAGCATACCGAACATTTGAATGGATGGTCGTTTGTGTGGATTCGCTCATGCTTTTCGACACGTTGGATCGTATTGAAGTTTCTGAGACAATACCTGCATTTTAGCTTGCTATCTGTAGTTTGGCTTTGCAAACTGTTCATTTGCTGTGCATCGGAATCCTGTTGTTCATGAGACTTTTTTGTTTGAGAATCGTTCGAATGCTGCTTTCGATGTTTTTTCTTCAGTTTCTGGATATGACAAAACTTGACTATTAACTTCATCGTAGAATACTGGTTCTTCTTTGATGATTTGATCGTAAATCGTAACGTCTTCGATCGACTTGAGATTATTTGAATTGCTGCCTATTTCCGACGATTCTGGGTATCCTTGCAAAAATGTTGTTTCGTCTATTTCGCCTATTTCTATCTCCGATTCTTGTTTTATTTCTATGTCAGCAACCAACAACTGTTCACAAGGAAGACTACACGGTTCAGTTTTGTTGTTTTTGAATAGTGGCATTTCCATGATGATCGATCATTCGAAGACTGATATTTATAAAATATTCCTCAATAAAAAGTGCACTTTAATTCATTTATCGCCTCTACAAAACAGTCTTTTGACTACAAGACTCTTTAGGCAAAAATGTTCAATTTTTTGTTTACCATTTGTTCAACGGTGAATGATTGAGTCCACACTGTTGACACTATTAGTTTGACAATACATATGTCAGCCTTTTATGTTTTTTTTTTCTTTTCTTTTTCATATGTGTCAAATATATGCATAACACTCGTTTTTCGGCACTTTTCATTTGAATCATGCATTCATTTTAACTGTTTTCCATACAATTTTTAATTGTTGCTATTTTCTTAAAATTCAATTGACTAACTAAACCAAGTTCAACGAATAAAGACATGGCAAAGATTTTGAACATTCAATTTAATCATAAGAAAATGAAAATTTTAATTCTCATTGCATGCAATGCAAGAAAATGTTTTACTTGTTAAATAGACTCGAATCTCGAAAATAAAATGACAAAAAAACTGTGATTGAAAGATTTGCAGTGGTTTCATCTTGTTGAAATTCAAATTGACCGGTTATATTTCTCCTTGCATCGATTGTCAATTATGTTGAGGTTAGGTTCACAAAAATTGATAATTGTTTACGTTTTGTTGAAGTAATTACATGCGTCGTGTCGAATCGATGAAGTTAATGGAAAATCCCACAAAAGTAATAATTCACTTTAAATATATTTCAAGATAGAGGTAATCAGTGATGGGAGATAAGTCGAAAAAATTGTGTCAAGGCAAAGACACGTTTGAGCGCATGAATTTTTTGTACCAAGCGGCATCTCAAATCATACCCAAATCCAAAGCTCTATCCTGTTACTATGGTGCACAGTGCAAATTGATTTCGAAAAAATCACTGCAACGAATGTAAGCCCAACAGCAAACCCGTCTTGTCAAATTTATCATTGTCAATTGTGTTTTTGTTTGTGTACATTTTCAGGGAGCCAGAAATGAAACGAACGATATGCAAACAATGTGGCCTAATGTTGAGACCGGGTGTGTCTGCCGAATTGTCAATTCAAGATGAGCACCGGGACGACGTTAATTCATGTCTGATCAAGTGCAACAAATGTAACGCCACCAAGCGCTACGTTGTAAATCCAAAGTACAATGGATGGCTTGATGCACAAGAATCCGTTGCTGAAGTGCTTAAACCCAATGAAACAACTGATAAAAAGCAATGAAGCATTTGAAGCTGGCGGAAACATGATTTTTGACTCTGGACAGCGTCAGTTCAAGTGGAAATAAAACTTTACGCCATCCGATGTGTGGCCACCGTGTGATATGTGTGCTGAACACAATTTTGTCGATGAATAACATGAATATCATTAATTGAATGCTCCACGTGTTTGCAATAAAACAAAGCATTTTCGAATGAGATAAGGTGAATGATAATAAAAAAAAGGACAAAAAACATCATAAAAAATGTGCATATTTTTTTTAATATTTTACGCATAATTATTTTAGATGAATTTTATTCCTCCAAAATCTCTTTCGATGAATATTTACAATTACATATACGCCTCCGACAAATAGAGACTCCGATGTGACAATATCAATTTAAAAATTTACGTCAGACATGTCTTTAATTTTAAAAATTTATTTTCAACGTCGTCTCGCGTATCTATTTAACATTCAACACTTTCTTAACGGCTGCCACGATATCTTTGGCTTGTGGTAAAGCAGCGGCTTCTAATGTCTGTGCATATGGCATGGGCACATCAGCACCTAATCAGATAAGAAACACAATGCATTAATAGATGAGAGTTATCCAGAGGGAGTATAAATTAAAAAAAAAAATTCTCTTCACGAAAATTTGTACGTACCGGTAACGCGGATGACTGGAGAATCGAGATGGAAAAATGTTTCGTGTTCCATTAATCTAGCGCAAATTTCAGATCCAATACCTGAAATAAAAAAAAAAACATCGCATTTAATTTTCATTGAAATGGGCCAACATGCCATCGTCTTAATCACATACCGCATTGTGGCCAACCGCCTTCAACAGTGACGAGATGATTTGTTTTTTGAACAGATTTGAAGATCGTTTCTGCATCGAGTGGTCGCACTGAACGCAAATTAATGACTTCAGCTTCGATTCCGGCGCCAGCCAATTCGTTAGCTGCTTGGAGGGCCGCTTCGACAGGTCTTGAATGAGCAACAATTGTAACATGCTTTCCGGGCCGTTGCACCTTGGCTTTGCCAATTGGCAACACAAACTCTTTGTCCAATACTTGATCCGATACTGGATATTGAACACCATACACCATTTCATTTTCCAAGAATACAACTGGATCCGGATCACGGATGGCAGCTTTCAGCAAACCTTCGATGAAAAAGAGAGAAAGAATGTTTCAAATTTTGAAGGGAAAGAAAACTCCCATTGTGATGAAGGGATATTCGCTGTGTGTACATTTACCTTTTGCATCTTCACTGTCATATGGCGAAATGACTTTCAATCCAGGACAATGAGCGAACCAAGCGGCAAAGCACTGTGAATGCTGTGCGCCTACACCAGCAGCAGCACCGTTTGGACCACGGAAAACAATCGGCACATTTACAGTACCAGCTGACATGTAGAATGTTTTGGCTGCCGAGTTTATCACCTGTGTTCAACGAGCACAGAAAATGTTGACGAAAAAAAAAATCAATTTAGAATCGAGATAAAGGGGGAGAGGGCACGTGTGGGAAATTGTGTTTGAATATTCACCTGATCGATGGCCTGCATGGAAAAGTTGAATGTCATGAACTCACAAATTGGTCGAAGTCCGGCCATGGCAGCACCAACAGCGATACCGGCAAAGCCCATTTCAGTAATTGGAGTATCAATGACACGCTTATCACCATACTTTTTCCACAAGCCTCTGGAAACCTGTTGGAATAATAACAATAATCATTCACTTTTAACGGCGTTCAAGTGATCGCCAGACATTTCATTCAACATCTCTCTATCGAATGATAATAGAATGCAGCAAACAATTTATATATTGATAAGAAATGGCAATCAAACTGGCAGAACACTAGATCACTCTTCCTGTTGAGCGATGCTTGGTTGTGAAGTGTCAATGCGTGTATTGTAAATTATACACACACACACACACACACACGAAAAGTTCAACCGAAGGTTGAAGTGGTTTGATTTTGATTGCTCTTGGGAGATTGTCTATGGCGCAAAATTCAAATAATTTTTGAATTTGACAAAATCAAAACTGAAAAAAAAATTATTTTTCGATCTGAATTTTAGGAATCATCAATATTATTCAAAAAACATTCATTCGAAATGTATTTTGATCTAGTCGCCCGGACGTTTCACGGAATATTTGAATTCGAAAAATAAATCATCTGCTTTGAACGAAATGTCAAATTCCATCCAAGGGATACATTATATAATTGAAATGATGAATCGATGTTTGATTTCAATAGAAAAAAAAAATGTTTGAAGCACATATCACATGCTTAACCAAAATATTTAAGGGCTGCATGTTATAACAGTCGAATTGTATTGACATTGAATAACCCCAAAGTATAAACCACAAACTTTTCACTCACGTATGTTTACGTAATCGCATGGCACGGTTTTTTTTGCCTCACTTTGCCGCATTAGACCACTTAATTTGCTTATCATTTCTGTCAAAATCCAAATTGATTTCTGTTTAGATTTTTTCTTTCTATCGGTTATATCTACCTTGTATGCACCATCGTATTGGGCCACTTCTTCACCTAAGATAAACACACGTTCATCTTTTTCCATTTCTTCGTCCATCGCCTGGTTCAATGCATCGCGAACGGTAAGCTGTTGTGCAGCCAATTTATGCGATGTGGAAAAAGCGCGACGAGTCAGCATACGCACGTTTGACAACATTTTTCAATTTTCGAGCTAATGAACTTCGGTGGTGTGATGAAAATCTGAAAGATTCTTTTTTTTCAGTCGACTAATGCGTACGACGGATGCACAACACGATTTAAATGATAGGTGATATTACAAATTGTTTGTGCTGAAACAAGTGAACCAGCCTGTCGGAAGAATCGTGGTTCGCAATGACATATGTCACGGAATGTAATGGTACCGAATACGTTCACTTCGTATACGGGGCTAATTTAAATCAATATCTCAACTACACTCAATCACGCGTGAGTTTTTCTGCATGCGAACACGACGAACACGGCTCACTCGGATTTTGACATTCCCCTCACTGACAGCAATACGTTTCGTTTGAATGGCGCACACGCAACCATTTGTATACATTTGAGGTAACGATCAAAACTTTTGCCGAGTCTCATCAATTAAAACCGCAAATTTTGGGATGTGAAAACGTATTGGGATTGATTCAACAATGTCGAATAATTCGGAGGTGATATTAACCTTCGATAATATAGAAATCACCGAAGATGATCTGAATTGTTTACGAGCACACCGATATCTCAACGATAAAATCATCAACTTCTATCTCAAGTACATGTACCGTATGATGTTGACGCCAGAACAACAGCGCAGAGTGCACATATTCGATAGTTTCTTCTCCGAAGCACTGGATCAAATGGACGAAGCACGCACTGTTCGATGGCTGCGACGCGTCAACATCTTTGAAAAGGACTTTCTGCTGGTTCCAGTCAATATAGATGAACATTGGTTTCTCATGATCATTTGCTATCCGATGAATGTTGGCGGCAAACATGGTGAATCTGCAATGCGCAGACGATCTCGAATACTCACCTTGGACTCAATGCCACTTCATGCTCACGACAAAAAACCGCAAATGTTACGGTATCTACGGAATTTCATTCGATGTGCTTGCGTTGTCCAAAGACACATGTCAGAGGAGGAAATTGGCAATCTAACAACTCGTTTGCAAAACGTTGACGTCGATGTCAAAGAACAGGTAATTTAGAATTTTCTTTCGAACAACTTTTCGCCTTGGGAATAATTGATTTTTTTAATTGTATTTTTTCTTCCAAAATAGGTGAACAATTTCGATTGTGGCATCCATTTGCTTGCAAATGCGGAAAAGTTCTTGACCGATACATTTGAAATTCGTGAAATCATCGACCCAGAAGTGGAATTTCGCTTGAATGGCGCCCGTCTCAAACGGAATGCCCTTCGAAAACTCATCAGAAAATTGGCCGAGGCAACGGAAATTGAAAAATCTGCGATCAATTCTAGAAGTCATTAGTTAGCCCAATTCGGATAAGACGAAAAAGATAAACTTAATTTTCTTGTTCTAGAAAAATCGTTAAATGTAGTTTATTTATACTTAAAAAAAATACACCAAAATTTGTGTGGTATCATTCGATTAGAACGCCAATTTTTTCATTAAAAGATAAATGTGTTGATCAACTTCAAAACCGTGTAAATTATTTGCATCGCCTTGCAGCCGCATCAGAAGCCCACCGTACGACACATATGCGGACAATCGGCTGGATGCTTCATTGTGAGCTTCGTCGCCTTCGATCCGGTAGATTTTCCCGTACATTACGTATTCAAAGCTGTCGGCACGTGAGTCTTCTGTTTCGATTGGATTGTATTCACCGCTATCTGTAAACAGTCAAAACATGGTCATTCACTCGTTGGCTGGCTCTATTATATGCAAGTGATGAAAATATTATTGGTTATAGAAATAATCATTTACCTGGATAACCATCTTCACGCAATGTTGTGGCCAGAACCAAACGGAATTTGTCTCCCAATTCCATTGGATACAACCATGAATTGATGTCCAAAATCAAGTCCATTTTGAATGATTCAGACTCGCAATGCAAACGACTGACACGATCGAATTTTTTACCCTCCGGATCCATGTCTTTTACATTGAAAATATCTTCGAATAAAACACCAGACATGTTGACGAGTTAATTTGGCAATTTATTGTCGTTGAAATGATTGTTTGATCCTTGGCAAAATGCTCGAATCGTGGTTATAGCGGGCTGTATGTGTTTCTCACGCGTTGTGTTCAAAAGTCGACATTTAGACCGATGTAAAAATGTGACATTTGTCGTTTCAAATACAAGCTAAACTCAAATCGTACATGTGCTGCCATTGATTTGATAGCGCCATCTGTATGAAATTGTGTCGGCTGCATCGCAATCAAACAAACAAATTCCAACTAATGTATGGAGCAAACGAAACAATTAGAATTTAATCGACATTCATAGATTAATTTAACGCAATTAACTGATGACTTTGAAACAAATGCGTTGCAATAAAATGTTAATTTCATCAATTTTACATGATAAATTGCGCATGCGCCGAACAATAGTTGATTGTGTGTTGATATCATAACAATCACAAACTACGACACATTCGTATAATGTGTACACACACCTATTGACCCACACACACACACACACGAATGGGCACGAAACTGAAACTGACATCGTATGTCATTTTTAGTGGAGCGAGTTTCTTGTTTACAACAAATTTTTCGTTCATTCTTTCTCAAAATTTATTTTCGCCCAAAAATCAGCGATCTTCTTTGGTCTAGCCCCAAAAAAACACATTTATATCGTCGTGGTCATTGAATGGTATTTACATGCCATTTTGTGCAAACGAATAAAACTAAATGAAAACCAGGAAAAAATAGTGGCGAGAACGTTAATCAACTCAGACGACGCCAATCGGAATTGGTGAGTGTAGTGCATTATTGTGCTTTAAATATAGAATTAATCCTAGTTTTCACTGCACTCGAATGGAGGCTTGTTACAAATCAACGCACTCGAAATAATAGACCCATTTGGGCCTAATAGAAAAACAAAACCAAAAAAAAAAAAACACACATTTCTTTTGCATTCAATGCAAAATGTTATGTCATTTACGATTCCGTCGATCGAATTCCATAATAAATCGAGCGTAAAATTTCGATGTGTAAATTCCATTGGGTAATTTTTATTTGGTCGTTTAACCGATCATTGAAATCATTTGATATGTTGCAGACATATTTTTTTCTTGTTAGAACCAACTGAATGGATTTAGGTTTCGTTTTGATTTTTGCTGTAATCATCGTTTGAAGTTTGAAAAAAGAAATGAAATGATAAGAAAAGATTTTGGTTTTTTTTATTTTGAAAAAATTTCACGCGTAATTTTTTGGATAATATTTTTTTCTTCGATTTGATCATAGGCCAAGTCAATTAATTATATTCGAGGGTTTTGTAATGCATGCTCATTCCTTTTTTATTACTTAATTTTTTCCATGTTTTTTTTTTTCAAAATAAATTCGTTTATTCCACACATATCCATATGGTACAATAGGCTAGCGGCTTAGTTGTTTGATCAGTAATTTGACTTTAAAATTCAAACCAAATTGTAACACAATTAATATTAACGAGTTAAACAATGTAATGCGAACAATTTTATAGTGAACATGGGTATAAAGTACCGTTTACTACTCAACAACTAAACGATACTAAAACACTTTTCCTTATCAATCATTGCACATTATGTATTTAGTAAATTCGAGTCAACGAAATGGTCTGGGATTTTATTAACCTTATTCTTATTTTATTTCTGTTAAATGCAAATAAGATGTGCATATTTTTTCACCACTTCATATGTGCATACATAATTGGAAGAGAGAGAGAGAGAGAGAGAGAGAGAGAAACGAAAGAAAAATTTGAACAAAGACTTCAATTTTATCAACGTAAAAAGGTTGTTCAGTTTAATTTTTATCGATTGTTTGGGTGTTTGACGGCACCATTTTTGGCCTCGAACGAATAAACAAAAAAAAACAATAGACTTTGACTGATTGTGCGTAAAACAGTAATTATCATTCACAAATGTATAACACATAGAAAAACCTGAAAATGTTGTTAGACGAACCAAATCCATTTTCCTTCTATTTCTTCTTCTTCTTCTTCTTCTTCTTATTCTTTATATAAAATTAGAAATTGCTAATGGTGGCGGTACTGTGAACGCTAGAATAACACTTGCGAAAACATTTACACAGAAGTAAGCGAAACTTAGAAAACAGCTTCGATCGAAATAAACCAAAAAAAAACATACATAGACACACAAACACGCATACGTATATACAACAAATTCAAATCCCGAATGAACAACATCATTCCCATGAGATATGGATTGTTGAAAACGGTCATCCATACAAAGTAAGAATTAAGCAGTATGAAACGCGCTAATGTTATCGATACTAAAGGGATAATGGTTACTGGTGCAACTTCATCAAAACGTTCCTATCAGTTGCGCGGCCCGGCAACAACAAACCCCAAACGATCGCCTTCAACTAACAAAATTTCGGTTCAGGGTGGAAAGAAATTGAGTACAAATAACAGTGATCAATCCCATGAAAATGCAACTAGCGACAATTCGATGGGTTCGGATACACAGGCCAATCGAACAAGACGCAGTAGCATGCGACTAGGATCACGTAATACAATATCGAATGTAGGTGGTGTGAAAACGCGCACAAAACGCACTATTCCAGATAACAACCGTGCTACAATCGGCAACAAGAAAAGTAAAACGACTCCGCTTCCATCTTCTCCTCCTCCACCACCATCACCATCATCATCACCACCACCACCATCACCACTACCATCTGCGTTGTCTCCGCAACCAACAAACGATACGGACGATGTTGTGGACAATGGTCGAAAAGTTCGCGGTTCAAAATCAATAATTAGAGATAGTAAAAATGGTGTTGGTAACAGTAATCATATTAACGGTAGCCATAATAATAACGATCATGATAACATTGTGGAGGATACTGATCCGATTGATAGTAGTGATGACAAAACCGATACGAATTCATCAACAAAACCAAAGACGAAGCGCATCCGTACTAAACGTAGATATATTTGTAACTTCTGTGACAAAGAGTTTTTAGGTGGCAACGATTTGCGCAAACACATTCGCATCCATACCGATGAGCGACCATTCGAGTGCCAGCACTGTGGCCAACGATTTCGACAGGGTGGATGCCTGAAAAATCACATCGCTTCGCAACATGGCACTTCCGAAACATTTACATGCTACTATTGCAACAAATCGTTTCCGATCAAAGAACGACTTCGACTGCACATGCGACTACATAGTGGCGAGAAACCTTACCACTGCAAAATTTGCTTCAAGCGCTTCGCTCGTGGTGGCCAGGTCGGTGCAATGCCCATTTATTTACATTACATTCGCCAATTTTTCTGTTCCCTTCTCAATGATTTTAATACGATGTATTTTTTTCCCCGAATTTACAGTTGACCCAGCACCTGGCAAGCCATTCGGGCGTGAAGAAATATCGTTGCACCCAATGCTCGAATTCATTTTCGTGTTCGGTCAATTTGAAATTGCATGTAAAAAGCCACTTGAATGTTCGTGACTATACGTGCCATCTTTGTGGTAAATCATTTGTACGGCCAGATGCTTTGAAAAAACACTTGACATGCTTCCATGAGAATGTGAAGGCCTTTTTCTGCAGCATTTGCTCACGAACATTCAAGGGTCATTTGCCGCAGCACATGCGAACACATGAAAATGTTAAATCGCACGGATGCGCCAATTGTGGTGCAACATTCTCACAAAAATCCCAGCTAATCGTTCATCAGCGCATCCACTCGGGTGAACGACCATACCGATGTCAGGTATGAAATGTAGAAATTTTTTCGTATTCACAATATTTTAACTAAGAAACAAGATGTTCCAAAGCTAATGATATTTTTCTATTTTGGATAAAAACAGGTGTGTTGGCAAGCGTTTGCCCATTCGAGCGTACTGAAGTTGCACATTCGTAAGCACACCGGCGAAAAGCCGTTCAAATGTTCGGTGTGCAAAGACACGGAGACGGCATTCTCACAATTGCCACATTTGAAAACGCATATGAGAGCCATTCATGGCATGGACAAAGTCTACCATTGTGAATTCTGTTCGGAATATTTTAAAACAAAGCACGAACTCCAGGAGCATAAAATCAAATGTTCGAAAGCACCAAAAGTGTCGGAGCACCAGGTTGACGATCAATTTGGTGGCCATCATGCAGCGGTTGAACCGAAATGCTCGACCAAAGAAACCACACTATCACGTATGCGGCTACTGATTGCGGTGCTATTGAAGAAGATTTCATCACAGGATCGACTCAAGCAGCTCGGATTTGATAAGCGATTGATTGACAATGTGCTGATGGATGCACTTAAAATGGCCGGCCAAGATGTAGTCACCGACACCAAACTACATGAAGTTGAACGCTTGCGGGCAAATGTGAAAATCTTCTTGGACTGGTCCATACCGGATACATACATGAAAAAATTCAAAAATGAACAGCGCAGCACCGAAGAATTGCTTGAGGACCTCACTAGTAATTTTAATCGTCAGCCAAAAAAAGCATAGATTTATTTTTGGTTTTTTTTTTCTTTTTCTTCATTTTATTTTTTAAAAGAAAAACAAAAACCCTAGTTCAATGGAACACACAAAAGCCGTTAACGAGACAGGTTTAGATGAATTTTTTTATACATATATATATATATATATCAATCAATCAATGATGCAATTATTAAAAACAAATTATATTTAGATTTTGATGAATAGTAATGCTAGAGCATTGTTTAGCCATTTAAACGAGAGAATGAATTTCTTCATTTTATTTTTATTCTCGATTTGCTATTATCCAAAGAGGAACATAAACCAAATATTTTGCTTTTCCTATTCAAATGCCATTGTTTTTTCTTGTTCGAATTTAGTTATTTAGACAATGATTGATTGATTTTTTTTTCGAAATGTAACTCTAGTCTACATTTAATTCAGAAGAAAGAACAGAAAAATTTATAACGATAAAATATCACGCCTGCGAATTCAGTTCGAAATTCATTTCATGCTGAGACAAAGATGAAGAAAAAAAAATGTAAAACTAAATTATGTGATATTTAATGGCCTTTTGTATGTTTTTTGATAAACGAAGAAAAAAAATGACAAAAAAAACAAAGTTTCAAAAAGAAATCCATTGCATAAACATAACCAAATCCATCAATTCTTAATTTGAGAATTAGAATGATTTTTTTTTATTCGTTTGGATAAAGTATAAAAATGCATACATGAATCATCTATTCAATATACATATTCGTTCTCTACGCATAATAACAAAAACAAAACGAATTTTACATGTTTCAATTTGCTGAGCAGAAGTCAAATTATAAAATAGAATAAAATTTAAACGAAAAAAAAAGGAAATGTCATTTTTGCAATAACTCATTAGTAATGTCATTCTAAGAATAATCATCGTAATTTTCATTTTGTTTACTACAATTAGACGATAATAGTTGTTCTCAGTGTTTCTTGTTTGATACTTGAATAGAATATTTATTAGGAAATGGAGAAAAAGGAGGAAGAATGATTAATGCCATTGCCACAATTGCCATCAATTTCTTTTAAGTCGACCATAGATATAGATATGAAAAATGCAAGTGAAAAGGGCGAGACACATCATCATGAATGATGATAAGCGACGCGTAATTATCGCTTATCCGATATCTGAAGCGGTCTAATCAAAAATTGAATGAAAAATAAAAGGGGAAACACCAAAATCGTAACAGTAGTTAAACAACTCGGCCCAAATAGTAAAAAAAACCATTTATCAAGTATTTGGTTTTTTTCCCATATGAAACATATCGGACATATAAACAAAAAATAAAACATAAATGGCATTTCATCAATGTATAATGAAACGGTAAAAGAAATTTTGCTACCATCAAATGTAATTCAAATTTGATTGATCCAAATGAAACATTTTTTTTTAAAATATTTTCTCAATAAACTGTAATTAATTGCAACACGTTGTATTTGCTGGTTTTTATCTTGAGCTACAGTTTAAGGTGACACGACGAAAGTCCACATTTCTCATCATGTCCATGAACCTTCCCGTTTAATTTTATTTTCAGCGGCAAAAAAAAAGAAAGCGGAAAAAAAAACAAAAGGAGAAAATTCAATATTATTTTGAAATATGAAATTCAATCAAGTAAATAAAAAACAAATTGTAGACTTTACGTTGCACATTGCGCTACTGTTCGCGTTGGCAAAGGTGAAACAGAATGCCGAAGAAAAAAAGAAGATTGTTTACTAAATTTAGCGATGATGTGGTTTCAGATTGTGGAATTATGGATTTGTACGGTGTAAATTATCAGAAACGAATTCTCTTTTTTTTTGGAAAACCAACGAAATTCGATCTGGATAAAGACTTGTGAAATGCCATTAAATTCGGAACATGCCCCAATCCCTTGTGAGTGGAAATTTCGACATGTAAAACGTTTGTGCGAACCGTCATCGATATATATATATATATATATGTGGCACACACTGTGAATATCACATCATTGTCAATACGACGCAGTGTCGCAAACCATCTTTCTTTCGTTCCGGCAAATAATCATGCAAATGTGGGATTGCGGCAAAATCGTAATGCAATACAGCAGCATATGAACCATATGGCTGGAAAATAGACAAAAATCGCAACCGAAAATATGCATTCCGATTGGTGGTGACGTTTTAAAATAAAAGACCAAAACGAACAGAAAAAAAAGTGTCATTAAACTGTTCTAATTTGTTTGCCGTGGAAAAAAATAAAAATCAACAAATTTCAGCCACATCGTTGCGTTGCGTCCATCAAAACAATATTGTGCCGGCAAACGAATGTATCATCAACAATGAACGTCAGCTAATGAACACGTAAAGTGTATCCAAAGCTTTGCTTGTCACCATACAAACCGCACAAACCAATACACACGCACTGCAATGTGACGTTGGCTATGTATTGGTGGCACGGCTGTCACTGTGTATGATGTACACATAAAATCAGAGCGTATAGAGAGTGGACAACAAAAATCTGATCAGCCAATGAATTGTGCCCACGATGATACGACGTAATGCCACGTTACGGATTTGTCGTGTCGAATGTCAATGTCTGTGTGCATTGAAACCGACAATTGACGCTAGTATTGGTGCAACAGACGACGTAGGCCATTTGTATTTACATGTTTTACTGTTTTTCTACGCTTTTTCTACTTCTTCGGCTGTTGTTTCATCGCACGAATTGAATGCTGTGTATTATTTCTTCTCGGCAACCAATGTGAAACGGAGCGAACGACGTGGAAAAGCAACGTCACTACACACAGCATCGTGTGGCAATACTCAGCAATAATACACATATTCTCGGTCGGTTGGTTCGGTCGTACGGTTCGGTGTGTGTGAGTTCATATTGCCTAGCGTTAAACATTTAAAAAGAGTTCACAAAATACTTAAAGGCCAGCGAAATAAATCTCGACAGTAGGAAATTTTACTTGCAACCGATTGGTTTTTAGTTCATTTTAACGGAGCACATTACGTCTCATCGATTTCAAAGTAATTAGAATTTTTTGGCGATTATTTTTTTAACTTGAACCATTCGATTGATGAGAAAGCAATGAATAATTGATTTTAAATCAGCTGCATTATAACCATATTTTCTTGTGGAAAAAAAGCAAGAAAAAGAACCAATTGCTTGATTTTTTTTCTTATTGTTCAACATTCGTACTCGAATTTGATTCCATTAGTATTTTGTGACTTGATCCATAATCGGAAGTTTTAACGTGAAAATAATCTTCAGCTTATATTAACACAGAACATTAACAAGATTTTGTCATTTTTCATTTAACATTCATTGATTTTGGAATTTGGTTTCTCTTCCTCTTTTTTTTTGCACACTCTTTAGTTCGTTTCATCATTTATTTTTTCGTTTCTGTTGGTGTAGAGTAATCTCGAAACAAACAAGCGGGCGCAAAATGTATTTATTAGCCGTAGCAACATGCATACTTGCATTCTCTGGCTTTGTTCAGTGCGATGCCGAACCAAGTGTTGAAGGTGGTGTTTTAGTGCTTACACAGGCAAATTTCCAGAACGTAATCAAAGAAAATGAATTCATCTTGGTCGAATTTTGTAAGTATCATTCCATTTCCTATCTATTCGATTCGTCTCTTTCTTTTTCTTTCTACATACATTCCGTGTATGCGTCGTGTGTACGTTAAATTCATTCCGGACATAACGAAAGAGACAACAAGCGACGTAAAGATTTTCTAACCTCTAATATCTGGATGATAAACTTTGGTTTTATTCTAAACAATCTCTCTATGTGTGCACATATTCCGGTTCGAATTGCCACATACACAACATAAGCGTGTTATATGAATACCAACAGCAACAACAACAACAACGACCACATCAAATAATACAGCAACTGTACACATCTTATGAGTCGTCGGCTTTACGTTTCTTACACATGTTATATGATGCAGACTTAAGAAGAAAAAAGGGTGTTTTCGGCAAATTTCCTAACAAAAAATGATGAAAATTTTGATAAAAAAAATGAAATTGTTGAGTCACCCTGTTTATGGCGTACAATTTTAAATTGGATTTTTGTAAAATCATTTTAAACTTTTTTTCGGAGAACGACGCAACGACCAAAAGTCGTTGTCAAAGTTTTTTTTTGCTACTTTTTTTTATAGATAAGAAGTTTGATGTGTCAAATAAAAGTAATTGCACCATATTTTCACGGAAGAAAATGCATTGGCTCTGTTCAACATTTTCGAGTCGGCATCGTGTAATATGTGTCTCCGGAATGACGTTACTATTTTTTCTTCATTTTCACAATTATTGACAAATGGCAGGGCAATTTGTAGACATTTCATAGTGATTAAAAAAATGTATCTTCACATTCTAAGTGTTCTGGTAATGTTCGGCATGTGTCTTTAACGATTCGGTTTTATCTATCTCTTTTGGACAGATGCTCCATGGTGCGGACACTGTAAACAATTGGCACCCGAATACGAAAAGGCCGCACAAGCGCTCGAAAAGCAAGGTTCATCAATTAAATTGGGCAAAGTTGATGCCACCATCGAATCAACATTGGCCGAAGAATACGGTGTTCGCGGTTATCCAACATTGAAATTCTTCCGAAACGGAAACGAAGTTGAATACAACGGTGGCCGTACATCCGAAGAAATTGTTGCCTGGGTTACCAAGAAGACTGGACCAGCTGCCGCTGAAATCAAGACTGTTGAAGAATTCGAAGCCCTTACCAAAGAAAACAAAGTCGTTGTTCTTGGTTTCTTCAAGGATCCTGAATCAGCCGAAGCTAAGACCTTCTTGTCAGTTGCCAGCGGCGTCGATGAATATCCATTTGCCATTACTGAAGCTGATGATGTGTTCAGGTAACTTGAACGAAGGAAAAAAGCACATGCGCTGCAACCGATTTAAACAAAACAGACATACTTAGCAACCAAATTTGTTTTCTTTTTCTCGACCATTTTTTTTTTAAATAGCAAATACGAAGCTAAAGATGGAGCTATCATTTTGTTCAAACAATTCGACGAAGGTAAAGCCGTGTACGAAGGTGAAAGCAACGAAGCCGAAATCAAGAAATTCTTGACCGCCAACTCAATACCATTGATTGTTGAATTCAACCATGAATCAGCCCAAAAGATCTTCGGCGGTGACATCAAGAGCCATTTGTTGATGTTTGTGTCAAAAGAAGCCGGCCATTTGGAGAAATACGCCGACAAAGCCAAAGATGTTGCCAAGAAATTCCGTAACGATGTTTTGTTTGTCACCATTAATGCCGATGAAGAAGACCATAAACGTATCTTGGACTTCTTTGGAATGGAAAAAGAAGAAGTTCCATCAATGCGATTGATCCGTTTGGAAGAAGATATGGCCAAATACAAGCCAGAAAACAGCGAATTGGACGCCGATAACATTGAAGCTTTCGTGCAATCATACATCGATGGTAAATTGAAGCAACATCTCTTGTCACAGAAATTGCCAGAAGATTGGGATAAAACACCAGTCAAAACACTTGTCTCATCCAACTTCGATCAAATCGTTTTCAACAAAGACAAAGATGTACTCGTTGAATTCTATGCTCCATGGTAAGCATTCCATTTTACACATGGCCATATTTCCAGTTGATATGGCGTAGCCATTAGCTAGCTCAAACTAGATCAATCGCATTTTTTTTTCTAAATACTTTGTTTTTAGGTGTGGTCACTGCAAACAATTGGCTCCAATCTACGATCAACTCGGTGAGAAATTCGCTGACTCAGAAACTGTTGTTATTGCCAAGATTGATGCTACTGCCAACGAATTGGAACACACCAAAATCACATCATTCCCAACAATCAAATTGTACAAAAAAGGTGATAATGTTGCTGTTGACTACAATGGCGAACGTACATTGGAAGGTTTTACCAAATTCTTGGAATCAGGTGGCCAAGACAGTGAAGGTGTTCCAGATGTTGTAAGTATTCCTCCACGCCCACCCTTTACCATTCCATTTGATTTCGATTCACGCATGCTAAAACACTTGCTTTTCCTTTCATTTTCATTCACAGGAGGAAGTTGAGGTCGATGAAAGCGACGAAGTACAACCAAAAGACGAACTTTAAGTAAATAGTGTATAGCGATTTGCTTAGAAAGTATTTATATGCGATCCGATGCGCAAAATACACTAAATACAGTGTGATTCTAAAAAAATCCGAAGATCCCAAGTTAAAAGAAAAAAAAATTTAATTATAAATATAAGAAGAGCTAAACTTTCATTTTTCATTTAAAAAAAAAGGATAAACAATTGTTTAAAAAAAAATAGAGAGAAAGAGAAAATAATTTTACACAGATCAAGATCATAAAAAAAACAGCAACAACACAGCATTCAATAACTCTGCACATATAGAAATGAAATGAAGTAAACGTACGTTATTTATAAATAAAACATCGTACATTTAAACAGAACAAAAGGAGAAGTTTAGTCAGTGGAGATGTAACAGTTTTACCGATTCGGGGGAATTAAATTTTAAGATGAGAGAAACAGCAAAAAAAAACACAAGAAAATCGAAACCAAGTAAATAAATAGAGTGAAAATGAGATATTATGAGCGGGTGTATGCTATACAAAGAGAAAATGTGATCCTCACATGTCACCAGTTAATGACATTATTAATTATTTTTTGTAACCCCGTTCTATGTTCGCGTTCATTTTATTTCGATTCATTTAAATGAAATCTCAGAGAAATGTCTCTCTTTGCACGACGGAAAAAATGTTAATAAATTCATGACCATTTTTTTTTTAAATAAAAAAAGGGAAAAAAATGTTTCTATCGATATTAGAATATCACCTGATTGGTTAAAGAATTCAAATTCAAATACTTAACAATATTTTTTGTCTTGTATTTTTTTAAAATAAATATAAAACAAAATTAAGAGCGAATCGTCTTTCTTTTTGCATTCAATGGCTCTGACAAAGGGTCGATGAAATTACAGCGGACCCATGCGGATCCAACTAAACGGCTATGCTACGCAACTATGCAAAAAGTTCACACGTTGTTCGGTGAGTTTTTCAAAGTGGTAAGTACATCTTAAGTTCAGGCTGGTATTTAAGTTCATCGTTCAAAGCTTGTACTTGAATTTAATGTGGCTTGTGATTGCAAGTACAAAATGATCAAAGATCATGGAATATATGAACGAGATGGCGCTCCCCGCTGGAATACACAGTTGGATGCCGAATTCTATAGTCAATGAAATGTTCATGTTATAATTATTCTTATTTACATATATTTAATCCATTTTCTACCAAGGTGCAAAAGTGGGTTCGAAATCAGTAACCAATAGTCTATCTATTGGGTCTGGGAATTAGTTTTGTCGATTTTTTTAAATTTTCAAACATTTATTTGAATACCAAAATGAAATTACATTTCAATCAAAATATTGTCCATCGGAAGCGATGACCTTCTGCCACAATGTGGGCAATTGACGGATGCCTGCCTTAAAAAATTCCTCATCTTTTGAGGCTATAAATGCATCGAGCCAATTTTGGATTTCTTCAACTGAAGAGAACCGCTCTCCGTCCATATGGTTTTGCATCGATCGAAACAAATGGTAGTCGGAAGGAGCCAGGTCTGGGCTATACGGGGCGTGAGCCAAAACTTCCCATCCGCTATTTTCCAAGTAGTTTTTGACCGATTTCTCAATGTGTGGCCGAGCATTGTCATGTAGGAAAATCAATGTCTCTTTTCTGGTCTCCCATTTCGTGCGTTTTTCTTTGATTGCTTGTTTCAAACGTATCAATTGTTGTCGGTAGAAAGGCCCATCGATGGTTTGACCACTTCTCAGCAGCTCATAATACACCACTCCCTCCTCATCCCACCAAATAGACAGCATTACCTTGTCGCCGTGAATTTCTTGTTTTGGCTGTGATGTTGCTGGTTGGCCGGGCTTAACATACGATGCTTTGCGCTTGGGGTTATCGTAATGAATCCATTTTTCGTCACCAGTGACAATTCGATACAGAAAACCTCTTTTTTTGTGCCTTGCGAGCAGCATTTCGCAAGTCACTAAACGCCTTTCAGCTTGCGCTGGCGTCAATTCATGTGGTACCCAATTTGACAACTTGCGAATGAAACCAAGGGCCCTTAAACGATATCCAACAGTGCTTCGGTCAACATTCAATGCTCTGGCAAGCTCATCTTGAGTTTGACTCGAATCTTCATCGAGCAATGCCTCCAATTCCGCATCTTCAAACTTTTTTGGCTGGCCGGGACGTTCCTTGTCTTCCGTGCTAAAATCACCACTTTTGAACCGTGAAAACCACCGTTCACATGTACGTTCCGATGGAGCATGCTCACCATAGGCTTCCACCAACATTCGATGCGCTTCAGCCGCAGTTTTCTTCAAATGAAAGCAAAAAATTAATGCTTGCGGGAAATGTTGCTTTTTCGGTACAAAATTTGACATATTTAAGGCGCAAAAAAAAATGTTTATCCAAACTTCGATGAAATGATAGATGATGATTTTTGTAGTTTGACACTAGACCACTCATGTGAAAAAGAAAAAAGTATTGCCCGATACAACCATGCAAGGTTCGCCATCTTTTGAAAAATCGACACGATTAATTCCCAGACCCAATAGCATAATTTTTCCCTGGGAACTCCGTAAAAACTGTCATATGGAAAATTTTTGTTTGCAAACCATATTTTTGTAGGCTCACAAACTAATCAAACAAAAACCGTTATGCTTTATTTAAAAATATTAACTATAAGTCTATTTAGAGTTATTTTGGCATGAAAAAATGAAAAAAAAATGTCAGATGGAAAATTCGTCTTGTAGTTTTCCAGAAATGCCCCGGAAAATTTTTGTTCGATTTTTCGAACATTGGTCATTAGCCCGGGATTCTTTATTACCTCTAAATCCACCCTGGGCTTCCCTAAGTATTATTAAAAATAATGTTCAACACTTGCTTTTTGAGTATATGTCTGTTATTCTTGCCTATCTCTAGGTCGACATATAAATAGGGATGGCCTTTGTTCGAAAAATCGAACGCTGGTAGAAAATGGGTTAATAATAAAATATCTATGATAATTGAAAGAAAACAAAAAAAAAATCTAGCCATCAATAATAACTCACAACAGTCAGTATTTGTCAGAACAAATTTCATCCAAGTTTTTGAGCAATAAATTCAAATACCTGTAATAAAAAATGCCGTTAAACAAATAAATTACCTTTTCATAGACTACAATGAATAATGAGCGCCACTTTTTTGTTCGCAGCTGTTCTACATGCACTCGATTCAGTTTAGTTTTAATGGTTTAACGGTGTCATGTTTGATTACACATAGCTATGTCATTTAATTAGAATTGAATAAAAGCCATTCACACGACTGAAGTTTCTATTGAATCGATTAAAGTCATCACTTAATTGACAAATAATGTTTTTTTTTTCAGCTTTTGTACAAGTATAGACTGAAAGGTAATTGAACTCTACAAAAAGGTTTATTATTGTTTGAATTTCAATATATTGTTATCGCAAGGATTTTGCATATGTTCAAATCAATACAAATATGAATGGACATGACTTTGAACCTGAATAAATTTCAATATCAATAGTTCACCTTGTGAAAATTCTTTGTAATAGGATAAAGTTGCGAGCAAAAGTGACACAACTCAACATTGAGCAGAAAAAACGTTAGTTTACGACAGCCTAGGAAGATGTCGTTCGAACGTGTGAAATGCTGGCAAACATGTGACGGGCCTGGATGAAAAATGAATATTTCAATCACATGTTTGGAAAAATCCGGTATCGAATGCAGAAAAAAAACGCAGAAATTTTTTTTACAGAAAAACAAATTGCAGAAAGAAACAAGACCGCAGAGCGGAGCGAAGCGAAGAAAATTTGCAGAAAATCAAAAACGCAGAAAAATTGAAAAAATACGATTTTTTCGAAAATTTGTTGACCACAATAGATCTCGTCCGACGCCATTCGTATCAAAACCAATACACTTTTTGTGCATGCTACTACTTCTTCTTCTTCACACTATCGTACACATAATCGTGCACAATGGAAGCGGCCATATTGAATATTTATAGTGTATTGTCATTATTTCTTCCAATATGGCGACTTACAGTATGTGTTAAGAAGAAGAAGCAGTACCATTCCTCAGTTTGCATACGGACGTCCGACGCGTGTTTTTTTTTAATCTGGCACATCAGCCAAATTAGTGCCAGGCGATAGTTTAGGCCGCCCTGAGTTCATAATGGGCCATGGTTTTGGGTAAAGGTGCTTCTGCCGGGAGTTAATGACTATAGGCGTTCCCACATTTCAGGAAGAACGAATTTCTTGATGAAACTTAGTTTTTACACCAGTACTCCGGTAATTATTGGTTTTTTACCTATCAATTCAAGAAGTTATTTGTTCAGACGATCACGCAGAAGCGATTCTGTACTCTCAAAGCTATAATATGTTTCAGAAAATGGGTTGAAATGGGTAAATTTCGTGGAAAATGGTCAAAATTAGTTACTGTAGTAACTACAGGTGGGCGTTTTGCGATTACTTAATCACTTGCACAATCATTTTTCGGGTGATTAAGATGGCACTTAATCACTTTATCGCTATTAATCATGATTAAGTGATTGTGCAATTGATTAATTAATCATCGATGATTAAGTTGTTGTCTTAATCACGATGTCGCCGTGATTAACTGTGACAACTCAATCATGATTAAGTAAATAGTTAATCATGATTAAGTAAATTCTTAATCATGATTAAGATGTGATTAACGAAATGATTGTGTAGATTTAAGAATTTACTTAATCATGATTAAGTTGTCACAGTAAATCACGGCGACATTGTGATTAAGACAACAACTTAATCATCATCGATGATTAATTAATCAATTGCACAATCACTTAATCATGATTAATAGCGATTTAATAATAATACACCGCCAAAGACTGGCTGTTTTTATTCAATTCTCATGATTGAAAAAAAATATAATAAATATTGTAAATAGAAATGATTCTGCATAGTTACATTAAATGGAATGAGTAAAAAATATACATTTTTCTGCTTATAGCGTAAATCACATTTGGTTAGGAAAAAAATGCGTGTTGTAGGTATTAGCTAATGACTTTAGCCTGAAGACATTATCAGGAATCTTTTTGAGTGACGATTTAAAGTTGTTGCGTGAAGAAGATTGTTGAAACAATGGTTTAATCAGGTTTGAGTATGAACACATTTGGTTGATAGGGGCGGTTTTCGTGATACTTAATCGCTGGTCGACAATTTTAAATAAATCTGAAATTCGGGTATTCCTTGCGTTTGTATTCTGGGTGACGAAGTTTTTTAGGCGCGGGCAATGAACAATATCATTGATGAGATCGTAGAAGATCATCATTGAAGCGTTGATGCGTCGTCTTTGTAACGATTGCATTTCGAGTCTAGACAGTCGTTGATCGTAGCTTGAAATCGTGTAGTTGTTCGCTGCATTCTGATATTCTCTCAACGCAAA